CCTCCCCCCTACCTCCCTACCAACCAATCCTCCCCCCTCCTCCCCAACTCAGATGCCCCTCAGTAGATGAATGGATCAAGAAAATGTGGAATATATACACAATGGAAATCTATGCGTCCATCAGAAAGAATGGCACTGCCCCATTTGTTAGGAAATGGAAATACTTGGAAAAAATTATATTAAGTGAAGTAAGCCAGGCCCAAAGAAACATAGGTCCCATGGTTTCCCTTATTTGCAATATCTAGTATATGTATGAGTTAAGCAGAAAAGGTCAGATAATGTGATGTTAGGAAAATGAACCCTTAGATATGTAATATGCTTTTTTATTTCATTCATTTGTTTGTAACGCATTAATAAGATTATCTCTTTGTTCCTTTGTATGTCCCTCCCCCACAGTATAACCCCTGCTTTCACTATATTTGATGTCAGTATAAATTGTGGAGGAGATGGGAAAAACAAGTCGTTTGAGGATACAGGTGGACCTGTTGCAACAATGAGAAGTACAAGGATATGTCGAAGGTACTCCTTTAAATTCACTTTTTCCCTCAGATGTTACATTTTATCATTCATTTTATATTTTTAATTATTTTTTTTAATTATCAGTGGTAGGACCTGAACTCTGGGTCTGAGTGCTGTTCCTCAGCTCTTGAACTCAAGACTGCCACTCTACCACTTGAGCCACAGCACCACTTCTAGATTTTTCTGCTTATGTGGTGCTGAGGAATTGAACCCAGGGCCTCATGTATGCAAGGCAAACACTCTACCACTGAGCCACTTCCCAGCCCTTAATTAAAATTTTAAATGTATTTTTAGTGTTTTTTTCTTCATGTAGATGTACAAAGGAGTTTCACTCAACAAAGTTGTTTATGAATAAAGTGCATTTTGTTGCGTTTCATCCCTTTCAACATTTCTTGAGATGTCATTTTTCTCATATTGTTATACTCACATAATGATATTGTCTTAGAATTATTGAAAAGAATTAGATAAGACTGTCCTATATCTGCTCATACATCCTCTCCCTTCTGTCCTTTTATGATGGAAAAAAATGTTCTCAGTTCTGAACCAAGGATGGCCCTCAGCATCCCATTCTGTGTACTATTCCTGTGAGGCAGGAAAGGAAGGTTTCTGTGCTTCCAAACAGTATTTATCATGTGCCCCATGTGTTGTGCCACAGGTAGGTTAGCTGTCTTTCTCTCCTTTGAAATTTCTGTCTTGCAGGGCTGGGAAGTTGACTCAGTGGTAGAACACTTGCCTTGCATGCCTGAGGACCTGGGTTCAATTCCTCAGCACCACATAAGCAAAAAGCAAAAAACTGGAAGTGGCTCTGTGGCTCAAGTGGTACAGCGCTAGCCTTGAGCTGAAGAGCTGAGGCACAGCGCTCAGGCCCAGAGTTCAGACCCCACCACCAGAACCCCCCGCAAAAAAAGAAATTTCTGTTTTGGGAATCATGCATTTGACCTTTCCTCTGCTTGGAACAGTGTTACTGTAAGACAGTACAGATGTTAACCATTATCCCTTCAGAGAAGCTGTCTTTGACCATTCAAACCCCAACAGGCTTCTTTATTATTCTTCTAGAGGTGCTATAACAAAGTACTACCTACAGAATATATAGACAACCAAAATGAATTATCTCACATTCCTGGAGGCCAAAATTGTGTGTGGAGGTAGAGTGAGTTACATTTTGAAGCCAACCACTCTCTTATCTAGTAACCTATGGGAACAAAAAAGTGTCCTCTCAAATGTAGCTAAATTAGTACCAGGAACATATCAGAAGCACCTTTCATGATGGGAGCCAGAGTAATAGAAGAATGAGAAAGAGTGACAATGTTTAGGACCAGAGTTAATCCTAATAAAGCAATAGGAAGCTCAGGGCTTCTGTGTGCTCTATATTCTAGTTACTTGGGAGGATCATGGTTTTCAGATAGGGGTGAATCTTACAATCTGAGGTGTGGTAAATGTATATTTATTGTCAAGAGAGAGTCTCCATTAATGTTTCTTTTAGGTTGGAAATACCAAGTTGATAGCATTTTACTCATTATGGGCAAGGAAAAGAAACTCCAAGGCAGGGAAGCAGGTAGTCCAAACAAAGTGATCCACATCCATGTTCCCATCACCTTCATAAGCCGGCATGCCTTTACTATTCAGGCAGATCTATGAGAGATGTGCCTGGAGAGGAGGACACAGGATTTTTGGGAAGGTGACCATAGCCAATTTTAGGACAGTGCTCTTAGCCACTTTGTTAGTGAGAAGTGGAAACTGGGGCAGCAAGGGGTGGGGTGTTAGGCAGAGGGGTCCAGTGTCCCAGCCAAGGCCCCCTTGTGGGAAAGAGCAACCCACCAAATGTAGCTTGAGGCAGCAGTGGCCTCCAGACAGGCTGGAGAAACAACTGAAAGGATTCTGTTTCCTATGTGGTTTGGATCCAGATAGGATAAGAGACTCCAAGGGCCCCTTTGGGACTAGTTTGTGAACAAGCTTAGGGTGCCTGGGAACAAGTATGACAAAAATTTATTTAAGCAGTAAACTGTTAGGATGGATAGCCAAGGGATGCCAAGAGGCAAAGTTCCAGGGCACTTATCTGAGATGTTAAGGAGGTTAAAGCAGCAGTTAACACTGCCGATTAGAGAAGCCAAAACGCTTCCAAGGATGACTTCTCTAAACCAATAAGTATCCTTCTAGTGTTGGCTAAGCAGAAAGATAACTTCAGTTTGCCTGTGTGGTACTACACTGCATAGCATAAGTCCAGGGGTAGGATGTGGCATTTTATTTTATTTATTTTATTTTTTATCAGTCCTGGAACAATTTTTTTTGCTCAAGACTAGCACTCTACCACTTGAGCCACAGAGGCACTTCTGGCTTTTTCAGTTTATATGGTACTGAGGAATCGAACCCAGGGCTTCATGCATGCTAGGCAAGCATTCCACCACTAAGCCACATTCCCAGGCAGATGAGGGTATTTTAAAATGCAACACTTACCCAGAAGGAGGACCGTATTAAGCCACACCTGCTTTAGTGCAAATGAATTTGATCCACTTGACTTTGGTCACCTCCTAAGGTGAGGATGTAGAGATATGAATTGGAATGAGTAAAGGGATTTATTTTCTAAAAAAGTAGGGGGTGCAGCCAAGGCAGGATAAATGAGGGCCTGGGACTGCAGGGAAGCAAATGACAGTGGAATTTTTTTTAAAAAAATATCAAGAGGAACGGGAGGTGGAGCAGGTGGCCCATCACCGTCCACTGAGGCAAGGCTTGGTTAAACTAGGTTAAATTCATGTTGGAATAGCCAGGCTGGGAGTCCTTGGATCTTGGAACTTCTTCTACCTCTACTTCTCAGTTGGCTGTGATTATAGGAGTGTACTAACATGTTCTGCTGGTAGAGGCTCTTCGTGTCCGATGCATCCAATCCTTCCATGGCTCTGTCTGGACAGAGAGGCTTTTTCAGCATGGAAGAAACACAGAGAGGAGATGAAGGTGAGCCCTATGGAAGGCAATTGAAGGAGAAGTGGGCAGAGGTGGTGGGGGCTCCAGGGGCTGGAAGGGTGCAGGGTGCTGTGGTCCTGCATGAGCCGAGGCAAAGGATCAGAGCAGTGATGATGGATGGGCAGGTGGAACCAAGATCTTTGAGGAGAGAAAGAGAGGGGAGGGGGTAGGGGTAAGAGGAGGACAGGGGACAAGTGGAGGAAGGGAAGGGAAAAGGAAGGGGGAAAGGAGGGGAGGGGTGAAGATGGCTGAAAGGCAGGCTGACAGATGATGGGATCTGGCATTTCTCACACAGAATTCTGTCCTTGTTTCCATTTCTGGTGTAGACAGTATTGTGAGATGACATTCTGTGACGCTTTGTATACAGTAAAACTTCAATTAACCAATTGCTCAGAGGGGTGGTGTTGTTAATTGAATTATCTGAATACTGAAAGTTAATTTGCCATAAACCCTTTGTCATTCCAAGGCATGCTGTGAACAGTCTAACCTCTCTCTCTTTTTCTTTTTCCCTCCATTCCTCCCTCTATCCCCCTCTCCTTCCTTCCACATAAGCCATATTCCCAGCCCATTTTCTGGAGTTATTTACTTTTCAGGAGGGATCTCCTGTTTTTGCCCAGACTGGCCTCAAGTGGATTCTCCTTCTTTGCACAGCTGGGTGTGCATATGTGTCAGCTGCATCTGATTTGCTCATTAAGAACAAGGTCTCCCTAACTTTTTTTGGCCTGGAAAGCCCTAGAGAACTTCAATGCTCCTGATTACTTTCTCTGGAGAAGCTGGGATTACAGGTGTAAGCCACCACATTTGACCAGCCTTTTTTTTTACAGCTCACCTTCTTCATCTGTAAAATGTACCACCACTATTCTGACCCCCACCATCAAGCCTTAGTTTAGCCAAATGGCCAGTTGCACTTGCCATTAGAAAGAGTAGTTCATTTATTTTTGTCTATTGCTTTTACTTAGCAAGTGAATAATGGATGAGTTGGGTCAAATTCACTTGGAACAAGAGAGTCTGCTGGCCAGAGGCCTCCCTGGGAAGGAGGCCCGGATCTTCTATGCACAAGGAAGTCTAGCAGCAAGGCAGAACCAAGTAGCACATACACTTAGACCCCATTGATATCTGGGACCGGCTGTGTGTGGAGGCGCAGCTCTCTGCGGTAGGCGTGTGACCAGTGGGGCTCTGGGGAGTGCCTTTCCTTCTAAACACATTGGAAAGCCCGAGACTTTTCCCTCCCTGCAGAGTTCATGGGAAACATAAGTCACGTTGATTGACTCCGCTGTCAGAGCCATCTATTAAATATCTAATCAGAGTGTTGCTTTTTAAAATATAACAATCTTTGACTGAAACCTTGTCTGATTCCATGCTCAGAGCTATCAGAAAAAGCCAAGGAATCGCCCTTGGCGCTAAACCCTGACGTGAAAGAACCTTCTAGTCCCTTCTCAGCCATCCCCCATGCTGGCCTGGACACTGGATTTAACATAATGATTTGTGATGTGTCAAAAGGAGACCCTGGTGCCATTTCTCAGGCTCTCGCGTTGCCGGCTCAGGGGGCCAGAGCCACAACACCGTTGCCTTCTGGAGTTCCTCCTGCGAGGCCTCCAGTCTGAACCACCACAATGGGACATTAAAAACTGAGCAGGACAAAGCTTCCAGTCTTAATCGCTCACTGAGCCAGGTTGCCTGTGGGAAATTCACCATAATCCCCCTGGCCAATGCACCACCATGGTCACCTTTCCTGGACATGGAAAGGCAAGTCCCATCTGCCTTCCTTTACACATGCAAACTAGACTCAAAAATAAAATAATAATAACAATAATAATAAAATATACAAGAGCTGGGCACGGTGGCTTACACCTGCAATCCCAGCTACTCAGGAGGCAGATATCAGGAGTATCCAAGGTTGAGGCTAGTACAAAAGTAGCAAGCAGCAAAACTTCATTTCAATCAATAGGCCAAATGTGGTAGGTTACAACTGTGACTCCACCTACTAGGGAGGCTGAGGTAGGAGGATCCCAATCTGAGGGTGGCCCCAGGCAAAAAGGCTGCCAACTTCCACCCAACCCCTGTGGCACCCCAGGGATGTGTGTGTGCATATACACATATGTGAGCTGTGGTATGCATATATGTATGTGTGCATGTAGGTGTGCATGCATGGGCATGTGTTTGGGATGCATAGAATGAGGCCATAGATGTGTGTCAGTGTGTACACGTGCACATACAGCATGCAGGTTTGTGCGTATGGGCGTGTGTTTGTGATGCATGGTGTGAGGCATCTGCACATGCAGATCAGCCTTTGCCACGGTGGCTGGATAAACTGGGATTACAGGCATGAACTGCCACTAGTCCCTGATGTACAATGGTGTGACTTAGGGGTTCTCAGCTGTGTGGCTGCATGGAGGGGATGAGTGCTCAGTTGGGATCTGTGGTCTTGCTCTGGGCAAGTGATGGGTGGCTCTTCTGGGGTGCAGTGATGCGGCAGCCCCGAGGTGGTGAGGGTGGAGGCCTGAGTCCCTGTGTGAGCTGTACTGGATCTTTGGCACCCTGAACGTACTCAGGGTATTTTTGACTTCTGATGTTTTCAGCTTAGGAGGAATCGATCTGGAAGGATGGCCTGCAGATGTCCAGTGGCAGCCACTGGGAGTCCTGTGCAAGGCAAAGAAGGGTCTGGCTTGCAATTGGGGCCTTTCAGATCTGTGTTGTCTTATCTCAGACTCTGCTTGTTGGGGTTGAATGTTCATCTGTGTTCCTCTGAGAATTCCTGGGCCTAGAGCTGGGGCCATCCTCCCTCCCTCCCTTCCTCCCTCGTGTTCTCCTTCCTCCCTCCCTTCCAACTCCTTGTGCTTGCTAGGTAGGCATCTGTCACTGACTCCCACCCCAGACCCTTTTTAACCTTGTTTTTCCACTCAATTTGTGCCCAGGTTGACCTGGGCTGTGGTCCCCCTATTTCTGCTTTCCCACAGGGCTGGGGTGACAGGCCTGTGCCACTCACCTTCAGTGAGTTGGAATCTCTGGAGTTCTCTTGTGCTGGCTGACCTTGAGCCATCCTGCTTGGTCTCTACCTTCCAAGTTGCTGGGATTGCAGCTTGGGTCCTTGTTCCCTGGCAACTTTCCTTCTTTACTTCAGGACCTAGGAATCCTCAGGGCCAAGCTCCTGGGTGTCATTCCTGGACTTGTCCATTGCTGTCCAACTCAGCTTGGTTTGTGGCCTCAACGCAGCGAGAAATCGTTCATCGTTCATTTCCCTCCTGCCCCCACCCCAGGAGGAAGATGCCATAAGTATTTTACTCCATTTAATCAATTAAGAAATTAAGTAGGGAAATTATGCAGCTGGCTCATGGGCCAGGCAGGCAATGAGATCAGGGTCCTGAGTTCCAGTTCAGAGCACTTTTCTGCCAGGGAGAAGTGCTCCCCTTTGGCCCTCTTTCTGTGCCTCCTGCAGCCAGAATGTTCTTCTGGGAGAGAGAGAGGAGGGTCTCTGCTCTTCTCCAAGGCCCCTCCCCTGTATCCTACCCAGCCGCACCCCCTGCAGCATAGGAGCTAGCTGGGGGCTCCTCTTGCTTGAGACACTTCTTTGCTGGTCTTCTAACCTTGCTTCTTTATCTGACTCGCTCGCCTTTGCTTTTTGTTCAGGGCTCCCAAAGTTGTACTTACTGTGTTTTATTTAGAAAAAATTGCACTTGGGCTAAATATGGAATCTTTACACGTGAACACAGTACACTCAGTTTCCTGTCATGCCGCACAGTTCCATTATCCCTCCTCTTGTGTTTAAATATTTGTTTTTTGTTCTTGTTGGTTTTGGGGCTTGAACTCTGGTGCTGTCCCTGAGCTCTTCAGCCCAAGGCGAGCACTCTACCACTTGAGCCACAGTGTCACTTCCAGGTTTTCTAGTGGTTAATTGGAGATAAGAATCTCATGGACTTTCCTGCCTGGGCTGGCTTTGAACCTCCATTCTTCCTAAGTAGCTAGGATTATTGGCGTGAGCCACCAGCGGCTGGCTAAAAAAAATTTAAAGATGTTTTGCTACTCTGTTACACACATATGTGTGCTCTTCCTATTCATCCCACACCACTCCCCTTGCCACTCTTCCCCCGGCGGGGCCCCTGAGCCCTCTTTGGTATTTGTGCCTTTAGTTTTGTTTCATGTTGAGTTGTAGGCCCTGATTTCAACTATGCAGGGCTGCTCCTCCCAGGTTTGGCTTATTTTACTTAACACAATGTTCTCCAGCTCCATTAGTTCTCCTGCAGACCATGCAGATGCCTTCCTCTTCCTCTTCATGGGTGAGCAGGGTTCCACTGTGCGAGCACCCTGCTCAATGGCTGACTCTGGGGTGTGGCTGGCTCCCATTTCTCTTCAGGCATCACCTGGATTCCTCATCTGCTGGAGGTCCCCCACATCTGGGTTCCTGCGTGTCTGGCTAGGGGTCCACAGGCAGTGGTGGTATTGAAGTGAGTGCCAGCAAAATTGCTGTGGTTCTGTAACAAAACCACATCTATGGAGAACCAGGAAAACATAAGAAAGTAGGAAGAGCTCCTCAGGCCTCCTGGCTTCTCCAGCAGAGGCTGGTCTGTAAACTGGAGGGAGGTTGTTATAGGAAAAATATGGTGGCATCCCCAAACACTCCTGCAGCTTCAATGTCCTAGCTAGATGTGCAAGTATCCCCTTTAAAGACTTTGTGCCACTTACAGTGGTGGCTTTATTTAATTTCCACAAAGTTGTATTTGCAATTAGATCTGTCCAAATAATGAACTCCAATTTGCTAGTTTGCAGTGAATGAATAATGACTGAGGTCTCCCTGGTGGGCTGTCGAGAAGCAGATACCCCAGCAAGTACAGGGCTGTGGGAGCGGGAGATGTCCTGGGGATGCAGGGGGCTCTGAGCCTGCTCAAGTTTGCTAGTGACTTACACCACGTCCCTTAGTACTCCTGACTCCCATTGTTCTCCAAGGACAGGAAAGAAATTGTCCCTTCTCTCATAAGAACTGAGCCTCATGTCAACAGAATACCATTTCTGCCTAGTTATCTTCAAATATGCTGCTGTCTTCTGCCCGTTTCCCAAGTCTATTGGTGTGTGTGTGTGGTGTGTCATGGTTCATGGTGATGGCTGTGCAGGCACTACCTCTGGCCTACCTCAGACTAACTAAATGACAATGTAAGTGGGTCCAGGCTGATCGTGGGCACTTGTGTCACTCCCCAGCTGATTCTTACTGAGTCAGTGATATAGACCAAGTCCCACCACCCTGCCTGCCATCACTGCTAAGTATATGTGGTTTGGGACTCACTCTGTAGTGGCCCCTGACTGGAGAACCTCTCACTCTGATGCTCAGATTCAACTCTAGACACTGGGTTTGGATCTAGCAGGCCAGGGCTGCTGACTAGCTGCCCACCTCTCTGCTTCACTGTGTGTGGCCATTGGGTAGCTTGCACTCACCCGAGTAGGGCCGGGACTCCTGGGCTTCAAACTTGATCTAAAGTATGCTAGGTCAAAGGTTATTTTCTCTTTCTCCTACTCCCCTTCCTCCTCTTCCTTCTCTCTCTCCTTCCTTCATTACTGCCTTCCTGCCTTCCTTTCTACCTTCCTTTCTGCTTTTCTGCCTTCCTTCTGTACTAGGCCTTCTACTTGCTAGCACCACTAGACCCATTTTTCCTTGGCTCCTCTTGAGATAGGATCTCACATCCTGCAGATGATCATGAGCCATGATCCTCCCATAGGCTCATGCCCTGTCTTACAACCTCCCTTCCAAGGGGATGAAGTCCCAAAGGTCTCAGCATGTCTGGCTAAACTCTCTGTTGGCTCTATGTGTGTCTGTGTGTTTGTGTGTGTGTGTGTGTCTGTGTGTTTGTGTGTGTGTGTGTGTGTGTGTGTGTCTGTGTGTCTGTGTGTCTGTGTCTGTGTGTCTGTGTAGCATGAACTTTTCTGCCTGGACTGTGCTTGATCCATGATCCTCCCAGGTAGCTAGTAGCTTCTCCCTGTGTTTCTCACTTTGGGCAGTGTCTCTGGTCAGGCCTGGCCCTGCAGGATGCATGGGGTGGGAGAAGGGGTGCTTTTTGCAGTGCTTTTTGCAGCTCTGCCTCCTCCACCATGCTCTTCCTCCCTAGCATGCAGGAGGGCTTGAGGCGTGATGCATTGGGGTGAGCTCCACAAGCCACAGAGGGAGAGTGTGAGCTGCAGTTCTGCATGAGGAGGTGCATGAAGACTCACTGGAGGGTATGCAAGCCACAGACCGGGCAGGTGAACAGCAGAAAGGTGGGTTCTGTGGACAGATGGGGCAGGTATACAGGATAAAGCGGGGTCTGTGGACAGTTGGCAAATCCCTGCAAAAATTGCTTTTCTTAGTGTGAACTAAGTTTTTTTTTAATTCTACATGCATATTTTCAAGTTCTATGTCAGCAATAACGGTTCCATGGGCAAACGAGTTTATATGCTGCTGCCCCCTGCAGAGGGGAGGGGAGGCCGGTGCAGGCCCATGAGTATGCTGCACTGTTGTGTTCTTGAGTATCCCTGTGTCTCAGATTGGGGTGGGTTTTTGAACTCATGCCCTGAGGGTGTGGTGAGGCATGGTGTAGTCTGTCTTCCCTGCCTAGGCTGGCCGTCTTCTTCTTCTCTCTCACCTGCTTAGCCATTTTTCAACAAGTTGCCTTATCCTTGGGTGGCAGAGTGTTCACCCCGAGTGCCTTTCTCTGAATGGATCTCAAACCCGTCACCCATTTCCAGGAAAGCCAACTGAGGCCCTGCCTCTTCCATGCTGGGCTCCCCTCAAGTTCAAGGCAGCTGTGTCACCAGTGGTGGATTTGTAGAAAGATGATTTGTGGAAATCATTTTTGGGGACTGCCTATAGCAGATCTACTTCATCAACACTATCATTTGCCTGTTTTAAATAGGATGTCTTTGTTGGGCACCAGACACCCACCTGTAGTCCCAGCTACTCAGAAAACTGAGGTCTGAGGATGGAGGTCTAACACAAACCAGGCCATAAAAGTTTAAGAGACTCTCAGCTCCAATTAATCAGCAAAAAGCCAGAAGGGGAGGCAGTTGTGATTAAGAAGAACCTTTCTTCTTTTGGGTTGATCCTGGGGCTTCGTGTGTTTTGGCTCAAGGCTGGTGCTCTACCATTTGAGCGAAAGCTCCCTCACCCTTCAACCATGTGAGGAGAGCACTAGAAGGCTCCATCTATGAAGCAGAAAGCCTGTCCCTCACTTGACCTCCATCCTCACCATCTGAGACCTCCAGCCCCCAGCCTCAGAAAGGAGACTCCATCCAGACACAGCATCATGATCAGAGCATTGTCCTCTGAGTTATTACTGAGTCACTCCACAGACCAACCGCGTTCGTCCAGCCTCCTGTTTGTCCCACTTCTTCACCTTGCTTGTCTTCATAACAGCCACGTGCTCATTTGCCTCCTTCCTGCCAAGACAGACTAAAGGCCGCACGCCAGGGCACAATCCCCTCATCTCCATGCTCAGGCTCTGCGTGAGGCCATTCTTTCCCGGCCCTATGTCCTAGCCCCTTTGTCAGCTCTCTCCTCCATCCTCCTGTGTTTACAGGTCATACGTTCAGGCCAGCAGTGAGGCCCTGGCCTGCACCCTCTCTTCAAATTGCTGCTGTCTGTGGCTGGGCTCCGTAGCTGTCCCCTTCTGCTTCCTTCCTATGGCCATTTATACAGCCCTCGGCCTCCTCGGTGAGAGCTGGACCATTCTCCACTTATCTGCAACATGCTGTGCCCTGTCCCTCCAGGCCATGCCCCACATGGTACAGTGTCCAGCAGCATCCAGCTGCTCCTACCCCTGAGACCTCTCCAACAACTCAAGCCCTCCTTCCACTCTCTGGGTTCAGATCATGCAGTCTTGGGTCTGGATTTCCTGAGTGTCTGCACGGCATCCTGAGTGTCTGCACGGCCAAGCCCTGAGCACAAGGCTGTGCTGGGGCTGTGAGCGGGAGGGACCCAGGCCTCCACCTCTGTGAAGATTTGGAAAAGTCCACCAGGCATTTCCCAGCTTCTCATCTGGCTTGACTCCTGCTCCACAGAGCCCAGGCACCCCTGTCCTTCTGTCCTGAGCCCCCATCCCTCTGTCCTGTCCTCCTTCTCCAAGCCCATGTGCCACCGTGGTCATGAACAAGGTTTGGTAAACATCCCGGTGTCTCCCTGCTGGCTGGAGGCAGGGGGAGGAGGTGTCCCTCAGAGGCAGAAAGTAGAAATGGACAAATGCCCCAGAGACTGGGCAAACTCTATAAATGGGGGATCCCCAGTCCAAGATGAACCCTTGGGGCTTGTGAGAGGTTTCTGCACTGTGAGGGGCTCTCTCTGTGATCCGGGGGATAATGGGCTGGGGTCCACTCATAGGGAGAGAATGCCCAGTGAGAGGGAAAGAGGAACTTGCTTTGACTTGGTCAAACAGCCAGTGCCTACACTGACTTAATTGGGTTCTATTCTGTTTAGACTTAGATAAATAGTATTGGCTATGGAGAGTCCATTTTCCCTTTAGCTGTTCTTGCTAAAAAGAAAAGAAAAATTATTTTAAAAAAATGAGTTTAGAACAAGGGCTGGATTTCCGATTACCAGGTCCCTGCCTGGGCCGAGATCTGGCCACTGGGGGGCAGCAGTGCACCACAGATCTTGGAGGACTACCCCCACCCCCCCATCCATTCATCTGCAACCTTCTCCAGGAATTTTCACTGTGCTATGATCTTTTCAGTCTCATCAGCAAGGAATAACACTTAAGACAAGGGTGTAAATAAAGATGGGTACCACACACAAAGTGTTGTATATATTATATTATACTATATTACATTATTTTATTTTATTTTTTGCCACAGTCAGTGAATCTTTATGCTTTGAGTGCTGTCACACTGGCTCACTCACCTTTCCTTTCAGCCTGGCTGGGCTGGAAGGTGGCTCCCATTATCTTGAGACTGTTGCTGGGAATTCTGGGTCAGGATGGAAAAGTCTTTATGTGTCAGCTAATGGCTTTTGAATGACTGAAATACACTGGGCCTTGGAGCATGGGTTACCCCATCTGTGACGCAATTTAACATTCCAGAACATTTGCAGTGCTATCCTTATAGGCCAGAAGAGTCAGGCTCAGAGGGATACAGCCAGTGGTCCAAGGTCAAGGACATAAAGACACCTTCACACCAGCTCTGCATGCGGCCGGCCTCGCTCCTGCACATCTGGGGACACTTGGGGGCAGAGGTAAGCCACAAGGGGACAAGGGGACAGGGACACAGGATCTGTGGAGAAAGGGAATGGCTGTAGGCATGGACTGCAGGCCATGGTTAGGGAAAGGGAGATGGGGAGGAAGAGAGACAGAGAGAGGGAGAGAAGGAAACAGAGGAAGGTGGAGAGAGAGGGAGGGAGAGGAGACAGAAACAGACACAGAGAGACAATGAGACACACACAGAGCAAGATGTGTTTGCTCATACACACACACACACGGATCACCACATCTTCATCAAGAGCAATTGCTTGCTGAACTAATTCACTAAGAGGCAGAAGAAGGGAAAGAGGCCAGAGTTTGCAAACATCAGGTCTCCAGGTTCTGCACACCCAACAAGTGTCTCACACCTTACCCTCAGCCTTCCCTCAGTCCCCAGGTGTGAGTCACTCTGCCTAGGATCTGGGCTGCCAGGTGTTTGGTTAATAATTATTCTGTAGATTGCTGCACGCAGGTGGCCCAGTGTAGTGTGGTCTGCGCCCGACACCCCTTCAACCAGGCTGTCTTTCCAGCTTCATCACTCTCATGGAAACTATCGTTTCCACGTAGTTGCCACGTGTCACAAAATTAGGCATTGTCCTGTTTGTTTCTCTTTTCTCTTCCTTTTCTTCCATTGTCCCATAGTGATAATCATGTTTGGTCTGTGTGTGTGTGTGTGTGTGTGTGTGTGAGTGTGTGAGCTTTTGTGTTCATGGCCCACTTGAGCCACAAGGGCACTTCCAGCTTTTTGGTAGCTAACTGGAGATAAGAATCTCATGGACTTTTCTATCTAGGCTATCTTTGAACCACAATCCTCTGATCTCAGCTTCCTGAGTAGCTAGGATTCCAGGAGCAAGCTGTCTCCTCCTCCTCCTGGAAGCCCTCCCATGCCCACATCAGGCCCCACACAAATGCTTCCTGTCCTTTAAGATGTCCTCCAGTGTTGGAAGCCTGCCCTAACTAGCTGAGCTGAACATCACCTTCTGGCTTCCAGACTCCTTACCTGGGTAGACCGGGTTCTAGTGTGTGCTCTGTGTCCTCTGGGCGTCTGACCCCCATGTCCTCTGGCCCGGCCCATCACATCCAGAGTCACCATCCATGCAGCGATGGAATGCCGAGTCTTCTGTGCACGCATGTGTCCATCCAGATCCTCGAAATACCCGTCAGCGAGAGAAGCGAGATCCTTTAATCCTCCAGGTTTATAAAGATTATCTCACCTCATTCCTATATACTGCACCATTAGACAATTCCATGAGAGCAACCACAGCGATGTCAGCAAGGACCCAGCCCACATCCACCCCGGTGAGGGGGGGTTCGGGAGGTCGGTCAGAAAGTTGGTGTCATACAAGGTGAGGAATGGTGGTGGAGTTGCTGGTCAGTCCAGTGGAACTTTCTGGAGCAGTGGTGAGACTTGATTTCCCAACAGGCCTCAGGGAGGCCAGTGAGTTTCACAGGGGATGGATGCGGTTCCAGCTCTCTGACTGCTCACAATGCATTGTCTAAAAGGACACAGGGTGGAGAATGAACATTTCCTCCAGAATCGAGGTCTGATGGAAGAAATGGTCAGAGTTCCTAATCAGGGTGTGTGTGTGTGTGTGTGTGTGTGTGTGTGTGTGTGTGTGTGTGTGTTTATCCCTTCCAAACCTGGGATGCACATCCCCCCAGGCAGCCACTCCCCACCCAACTGGGAGGAAGCTGGTAGGGTCCTGGGCCATGCTTGGGAGCTGGCTGTGTCCCACAGTGCAGCCTTTCTCCTGTTGGGGTAATCTGCTGTGAGATACCTTGGGGGGGGAGGGGACCCGCCTTGCCCCAGGATTGTCAATGTGTTCCTTGTGCTTTGGGGCTTTCTGAATTCTGCATCCTGGGTCTCCCATCATAGCGATGTCAGGCATGGCTGGAAACTGTCTCATCCTGTGTTCTGTCCCATGGTCTGTCAAGCTGGGTCCCTTGCAAGAACCCACAGGGACTTTTGGCTATGCCAGCTGGAGTCTGTCCCCTCCCCATCCCTCTCCACCAGTGCCAGGCACCTTAGTCCGTGCCGAGTCCACGAGCTGGAGAAATGTCAACTAAGGGTAGTGCCAGGTGCCAGTGCCAGGCTGTATCAGCCATGTGGCACCATGACTCAGTTCCTGGCCACCTCAGGTCCCTGCCCTCCCGTCTCCCTCCTCCTCTGGGGTTTGTGTAGGCAGCACATGTTTATGCACCCCCTACTCCGCTGTGCTGGGTTTGAGGTGATAGGCAGAAGCAGGCCACACTCAGGAAGAAGGAGAGACACAGCAATGGGAGCCACAACCTGGAGTTCAGGCCTGTGGGGCAGGATTCCATGAGCAGGGGCAGCAGAGGGAGATGCTTAGGTTTGGAGGGGTGGTCCCCATAGCAAGCACAATTCTGAGGTCAGAGCAGGTGTCAGGTTAGGCCCCTGACATCTGGGGTGAGGATGAGAGACCCCTAACAAGGTCCCTGCCTGTGCCTCAGGTTACAGCGGTGGGCAAGGTGCGGGGGCATTGGAGGATGTTTGTGGTAGTGGTGGTGGAAGAGACCTAACCATGTCTATGGAAGGTGCCATGGTGGACAGGAAGGAGAGGACCACAGAGGCCATACTTCCCAGTGTGCTCACAACCCACTCCCCCAAGAATGCATTCTTAGGGCTGGAGCTGCAGGGAGCCTACTATGCCAGGCCTCTTAAAGGGCCCCATCACCCCCACACAGCCACCTGGGGTGAAGCCTCTGCCTCATGGATCTTCAGGGGCTGAGATGGCTCAGAGGGACAGATGGGCTCCATGGGCACTCTTCCTGAAGATCAGGTGAAAGAGGTGCAGAGGGGGGGGGGAAAGAGAGAGAGAAAGAGTGGGAGAGAGGGAGAGAGTGAAGGGGAGAGAGAAAAAATGCTGATGAAGGACTCACTGAAACCAGTGGGGTACCTCACATGCCTGCCATCCTAGCTTCAGTATCCCAATACTGAGTATATATGAAAGGTGGATTTATTTTTTGTGTTTTTGTTTTTATCTGTCATAAGAGCTTGAACTCAGGGCCTAGGCGCTGTTCCTAAGCGTTCATGCCCATGGCTAGTGCTCTGTTACTTTGAGGCACAGCTCCCCTTCCTGTTTTCTGGTGGTTAATGGGAGACAAAAGTCCCAGAGACTTTCCTGCCCAGGCTGGCTTTGAACCATGGTCCTCTGATCTCAGCCTCTTAAGCAGCTAGGATTACAGGCACCTGGCCGAAGGCATTTTATGCTAAGAAAACTGTTTTTGTTTTTGTTTTATTTTGGGGGGGGTCTGGTCCTGGGGCCTGAACTCTGGGCCTGGGCGCTGTCCCTCAGCTCTTCAGCTCAAGGCAAATGCTCTACCACTTGAGCCACAGCCCCATTTCCGGCCTTTTTTTATCTGCTTATGTGGTGCTGAGGAATCGAACCCAGGGCCTCATGTAGGCAATGCAAGCACTCTACCAATGAGCCACCTTCCCAGCCCAAGAAAACTGTTGAATAACAGTAGGTCCATTTGTTTTTACAAACAAAAGAAATTTCTGTTTTTATTATTTCTTTTTTGTGATTATTAGACAGGTAAACTATTTGTGCCATATCTTTACTTTTTGTTGTTGTTGTTGGTTGTGGGGCTTCAACTCTGGGCTTGGGCTCTCTTCCTGAGCTCTTTAGCTCAAGGATAGCCCTCTACCACTTGAGCCACAGCACCACTTCTGGTTTTCTGTGGTTTTTTGGAGATAAGAGTCTTACTGACTTTCCTGCCCGGGCTGGCTTTGAACGGTGATCTTCATATTTCAGCCTCCTGAGTAGCTAGGACTATAGGCATGAGCCATGAGCCAGGGTGTCTGGTATATCTTTACTTCCTAATGGTCTTTAAAAATAGATATTTTTAATAGAAAGAGAAGTAACATTTTACTGTTTTTGTAATGCCTGGTTTCCCTTTCTTTTAGTGTTCTAGCATCCTTCTATAATGCTGAAGATGAGTCAAACCTTCTCTTACCTAAGCTGCCCACATTACCAAAAACATAAGTATCAGAGTTGTATTTCTTTGGACTTAATCTTGCAGGTTAATCTGCTTTAAATACTGGTACATACTTCTCTAATGAGTATCATTTTACCTTTGTCTCTCTTTTCTCTCCATTATAGCAGCACCTCAAAAATATTTAGGTAAGATATACCTTTTTGTTGTTTTCAAATAAAATAATTTTTTTAGTTGAAAGATGACTCAATTTATTTTTATATTGTAGTGAGGAGAATTCTGATGAAATTATTAAACTCTTGGGAGATGTCAGTTAAATCTAATTTAAATAAGTCTGATTTCTTTAAATCACTTTTCATATTGGAGGAACATTTCCAAATTTTCAGGAGCAAATCTTTTGTTATGTTATCTCATTGTAGACACTCAGTGTCTTCAAATAATAGATGTCACCATCTTGCTGTTTTTACTGTGTGCTCATTCTTTGTTTCATGTGTTAGCAGTAATGCAGTATACTTGTTTTTAATAAGTAAAAGAGGATAGTACTAGAATTTTTAAAATTTCAGTTTTAATTATCCAAGTTCTTCATTGTGTCATACCCATGATAAAACTGTTTTGTTATTGTCTGTATGTGAATACAATTATTAGTATGTTAGCTATAAGAAATATATATATATATATAATATATATATATATATATATATATTGTTCTTCGGAAACAAAAGAAATGGGCTGTTGTGATTGAATATTGAGAGTTGCTGTGTTTACTTAGCGTATCAGTTTTCCCTGAAGAGGAATTTTAGCACTCAGATTAGATGAAAGCAGTAACAATTGATATTTTGGCTAAAAATCCCCCAGTCATCTAAAAGAGAGAAGAGGAACCAGCAGGAGGGAGAAAGGAAAAAGAGATGGTGAGGGAAGGTGAATATATATGTATGGGAATACCATCATGAAACCCTCCAGAAACTTAGGAAGGAATAGATAGGGAGAGACGATAGTTAAGAAAGAGTAATATAGATTAAGAGTAAATTTGATCAAAGTATATTATATTCCTGTTGTAAATATCACAGTGTAACACTTTTGTACTATAAGTTCATGCTAATTATTTTTTAAAGATTGGGTAGAAATAAAATCAACAAATATAAAAAACAACCACAATTATCTGTGTTGCTCACTGGTTCTCTGCTTGTTACATTTTTTTTAGATTAAATATTCTTGTCCTTGGAGGAAGCTATGGATTTATTGAGCTTTATGCTTATGGGATGTTCAAAATTGCTCGAGTCACAGGGGTGAGTTTTTCTTTTAGGTTTCTTGTATTATTTCTCTTAAAATATAGTGGCTAGTTTACTTGTGGAATAAGAATAACAGTAAGTTTTTTTTTATTTTTTCAGTTTCAATTTGTTTTTAAATAATTAGAGTATTTTTAAGCTAAAATAATGATGATATTACTATAGAGATGAGAAACTTTTGGTGGAATTAGTCAAGCTTTTTCCTTTAATGAAAAGATTGATCTGATCCACTTGACTATGATTTAACTGGAACCTAATGAAAGCTATCAGAAGCCACTCTTTGTTGAGTACTGAGTCTCCTACTACTGCGAAATCAGTTTTCTCCATAGCCTTTTTCATCTTGCTCTCACAATTCCCCAAGGTGTAGACAATATCATAGTCTTCAGGGAATTTGTTTGCTCATCAACCTTTGGTGTGCAACTGTTTTTTTTGTTGTTGTTGTTTTGGTTTGGATTTTTTTGCTGCACTCTGGGCCTGGGTGCTGTTCCTCAGCTCTTCAGCTCAAGGCTGGTGCTCTACCACTTGAGCCATAGCACCACTTCCGGCTCCTTTTTGCTTATGTGGTGCTGAGGAATTAAACCCAGGGCCTCAGGCATGCAAAGCAAGCACTCTACCACTGAGCCAACTTCCTAGCCCCTGGTGTGCAACTGTTGATGGGATTGGGATCAGAAGTTTTGATGTTTATAGGTCGTTGTGACTAGGAGGAGCCCTTTACCTGCTTTACCTACCTTTACCTGCTACATGAGTATCGCTGAAACCAGAAGTGTGTGTCACAGCTTTCTAAAGATGTGTATAAATTGTTGCATCCGGTATTACAAACAGATGCACTCTAGCAGTGATACCACATGTATGAGGGTGTGTGATTATTTTGCAGATTGATGGCACTTGTCTTGCATTGTTTCTATCAAGTGATTTGAATCATTATCAGTGGTCACAGAGGTTTCCACTGGTGGCCCTTCAGAGGTTTCATACTTTCAGGTATGTACTGGAATTTCATAATTGTAGATATTAAGAATATGTTTTAGTTTTTGTGTTGTTTTTTAGGGGTGGTTGGTGCTGAAGGTTGACAGGACATACTAGCATGCTATCCACCACCGGACTGGCTCCCCACCCCTGTGGGTTTGTATCCATGTCTCACTGTATTCTAATGGGTACCAAAATAAAACATCTACTTGTAGTTTCTAAATTGAACACATTGAATGTTGTTGTAATACTATTATTTTCCACATAAAAACAATGTTTTGATGATCATGGCCCTACAAATTGGTTCCTATAACAGAATTACTTGGTTTTGAGCATTTTCTTGGGACTCAGTTATTAGTAATAATAAGGGCTGATATTCATCATTTATTATATGCCAAGTCCTTAGTGCCTTAAACACAACAACATATGGATAAGCACTGTTATTATACCTGAAGAAAGTACTGGACACATACAAAAGCTGCAGAATTTGCTTGATGTCACATAATTGGAAATTTGATGCTAGGATGTCTGACTTCAGGTTCTGTGCCTTTTTTCTCCTTCTAATGAAAGCAAGGCTTGCTCTGTAATCCAGATTTGCCTAGAACTTCAGGTTCTCCTGCTTTAGCCTTCCAAGTGATGGAATTACAGGTGTGCAGCTTTAGTCTCTGTTCTTAACACATGCTTTTTGTGTAAAACATTTAAGTATTGGCGAGGGCTCTTTTGTTTTGTGTAGCATTCATAATAAGATTAGGAAACTGTTTGGGCTCCTGTTATTTAGATTGTACCTTTGCTTGCCAAGAAAACTTCCCCAGTTTTTCCTCTGAAGATCCTATATGTTTATCCTAAGTATGTGTGAATTTTCCAAAAAAGTAGAACAAAAAGATAGAAGATGTGATGACCGCTTAGTGTCTTTGTTAGCATTCTGTTCAGTGTTCCAGAGCACCCTAGATATAGAATTCACAACAATGGTAGTACACATTTGTGTTTTCAGGCTGAGAAACTGTGATCACTAGCCTGTATTTGTGCTATAATAGAGCAACTCTTTTTTTTCTGTGAAATTTGTAAAAGTTTTGTTGTTGTTGTTGTTGTTTTTGTCCTGGGGCTTGAACTCAGGGCTTGGGCACTGTCCCTGAGCTTCTTTTGCTCAAGGTTGACACTCTACTACTTGAGCTACAGTGCCACTTCTGGCTTTTTCTGTTTATGTGGTACTGAGGAATCAAATCTAGGGCTTCATGAATGCTAGGCAAGCACTCTAACACTAAGCCACATTCCCAGCTACTAATAGATTTTTTTTAAATGACAACTTCTGTGTGATATAACTGGTAAGGAGTATTTTCTGAGTTTTTACCAGTAATATTTTAATGCCTTTTGATGCCTTCCCTTGGTTCTGATGCCTCCAACTTGGTTATGTTTAAAAGGGGGCCGAATTCTGATTTGGTCTTCCTGATACTTAGATTTTTGCTCTCCTCGTTAAGTTAAAGGATGCACACATGTGCGCGTGCACGTGTGTGTGTGTGTGTGTGTTTGTGTGTGTTTTACAGGAACAATTTATCTTTAAAAAAGTAAATACATCTGATTATGTCTCAATTTATTCTTGTTTTTCAGCTTGAAAGCAATCTGCTCTACTTCTTCTTACCTGAAGTAACTCTACTCCTTCTTACCTGAAGTAACTCGGATGGCCAGGAAGCTTACTCACATTTCAGCTCTGTTGCAGGTATTTATTCATCACTTGATTTCTAGATTTTTTAAAACTAAAGGCAGTTGAATATCTATTAAAGCAAGAAAAATAATTTAATTAATCTACTCATCCAATCCTGTTTATCACCTCCAAATGAAAGGGAAAAATAGTCAATCTTTTAAAATATTCCTATTAATAAAATGTTACTTATACTTTATTGCAAATAAAATAGTATTTTTATGATTTTAGCTTTCTTTTGCTCATAAGAAAGATACCCCAAATTAGTAGATAATTTTGTAGGTTAGCAGTTTGGACTAAACTCAGCCAGAATGTTGTGGTGATCTGTACCTGGTATGGCTCACGTCACCCAGCCTGATTATGAAAGCTGATGTGTCCCTGGCTCAAGTGGCTTTGTCTCTGCCATGCATCCCTCATCGTCTAGCCAGCTAGTCCTGGGTTGTTTTTAGGGTAGTGGCAGCAAAGGTTTCAAGAGTACACATTTAGGGCTGGGAATGTGTCTCAATGGTAGAATGCTTGCCTCGCATGCATGAAGCCCTGGGTTCAATTCCTCAGTACCATGTACACAAAAAAGGCTAGAACTGGAGCAGTGGCTTAAGTGGCAGAGTGATAGCCTTGAACAAAAGAAGCTCAGGGACAGTGCCCAGGCCAAGTTCAAGCCCAGGACTGACAAAAAATAAATAAATAAAAAAGAGTGTAAGTTGAACTGTTGTTGTTGGGAAACTTCTATAATCCAGCAACAGGGAAGCTCAGGCAAGAGTATTATAATACCAACTTGAGCTATATAGCAAGTGTGAGGCCAGCTTGGGCTATATAACAAGATCCTGTCTCCCTCTCCCTCCCCTCAAAAAAAAAGTGCAAGTCAAGATGTATAAACAACTTGAAGGCCCTGGCCTCAGCAGTGTTGTTTCTGCTATGTTCACTTAGAGCAAGCTATAGGGCAGCCAGGTACAAGGTGAGGAGAATAAGTCAGGATGTAAGAACTGTAAAGAATTGAGGCCATTTTTATCGTTATTTTTCTACCACAGCCATTAATTTACTTGATGGCAAACGTTACTAGGGGTCGGAATCTTTTAAGGGTCCTCTGACAGTTTAATAGTTGAACAAACCAACATTTTGACAGTGTAATAAAACACAGCTTAAATAATGAAATGTAAAAGATGTTTGTTTTACTAGGTACAGAACTGTTCTTTTGAAATGAAGGAAGTGGTAACATTGTGCAAAAAGAAATGTACTCATTATCTTTCTTATGTAACTGTAACCCCTCTGTACATCACGTTTACAATAAAATTTAAGTATAAAAAAGTTCCTTTGTAAAGTTCTAAGAATAATTGATTCTTTGGTAAAAATAGTTGTTATCAAACAGTTAGACCCTGGTGGCTTACATCTGTAATCCTAGCTACTTAAGAGGCTGAGATCTTAGGATCATGGTTCAAGGCCAGCCCAGGCAGTAAAGTCTATGAGACTCTTAGCTCCAATTAACCAACATAAAATAGGAGGTAGCACTGTGGTTCAAGGTGGTAGGGAGCTTGTCTTGAGCAAAAGAGCTCAGGCACAGTCCCCAGACCACAAGTTTAAGCCCCACAACTGGAAAAAAAGAAGTTACCAAAGGTTAGCTATGGTCTTGTCTTTTCCTTTGGCTTAACTAAGTTAATTAGGGTGATTGAAAGTAAGTTCTGGATTTCTTTGTGACTTCAAGAAGCACATATTAGGTAGAATGTGGGTTTAAAATATTTTCTTCTTTTTGCTAATAGTATATAAATTTGTCACTGACATGTATGTGTGAAGCATGGAAAGAAATACTGATGCAGATGGATTCTCATCTCACTAAGTTTGTGCAGGTAATGTAACTGACTTCATGTGGAAAGAGTTTAAAAGTCTGTTTGCTTCATATGCTATATGAGAAAAGTCAGTTTAATTTATGATAGGTTAAGACCATAATTTCTTCAGACAGCATGGCCTAATGACTATTTTCACAGAAAATAGTTGCAAAAAGGACTCTACATTAGGTTTTGTTACTATAACAAAGTACCTGAACTTGGGTAATGTATACAGAAGAGAGGTTTATGTAAATTCCAGTTTTGTAGACTAGAAGTCCCAGATTGTGTGGCTCTGTTATTTTCTTCTTCTGGAAGATGACATCTTGGCAGAGGGATCACTTTGTGACCCAGGAACCAGAAAGTGGAGAAGGGTGGTCTTGCTCTTTTAGAACAACTCACTCGGCAGGATCTAACCAGGTTCCTATGAGAACTACATTTTCCTCAAATAGCAGCACCCCCAATGATCTAACTACCTCCCAGTATGCCTTAACTCTTAAAGATTCCACTACCTCAGCAGGATCATAATCCATGAATCGCTAGGGGACAAACCATATCAGATCCATAGCTGACTCTTCCACCATTGGAACAACTCAATGCAGTGGGTAGGCTTTGGGAATGAAGAAGGTATTGAAACAGTTCACTGGTTGTCTCCAGTCACTGAGCCTCAGATGTTTCCTGTATATGAGGGCTTGAGAGAGACAGAGGAAAGAATAGTGAGTAGATGTACTTTATAAGCTGCAAAACATGTATCACATATTTCTTTTTATTTTATCTGGAAAAAGAACACAACCAAATCAGGATGAATTTATACAATTGCTGTTGTGGGGGAAGGCAAGGTAATAAACTTCTCCTTTTCCTCCCCTCTCCCCCGATTGGTTGTGGGGCTTGAACTCAGGGCCTATGTGCTGTCCTTAAGATCTTTCTGCTCTACCATTTTGAGCCGCATCCCTGCTTCCAGTTTTTTGAGTGGTTAACTGGAAATAAGACTCTCACAGGGACTTCTCTATTTGGGCTGTCTTTTTTTCTGTCCTGGAGCCTGAACTCTGGGCCTAGGCTCTGTCCCTGAGCACTTCAGCTCAAGGCTAGCACTCTACCACTTGAACCACAGCACCACTTCAGGTTTTTTCTGCTTATGTAATGCTGAGGAATCGAACCCAGGGACTCATGCATGCAAGGCAAACACTCTACCACTGAGATACCTTCCCAGCCCTGTCTGGGCTGTCTTTGAATCACAATCCTTAGATATCAGCCTCTTGAGTAGCTAGGATTACAGGCATGAGCCACTGATGCCCTGCTTCACTCCTCTCCCCCCTTTTTAAATCAATGTATGTTAGAAGTAAATAAAAATGAATAATTCATTTGTCCATATGAAATAGAAAATTCTGGTATATAAAGAGTATTAGAAGTATATGTCTCTAGGATTTTGGATACACCCTTTTGGGTTAATGTGATCATTTTGTACAGAAGTTTTAGTTTTTATGTAGCCAAACTAAACGTTTTCTTTTTGGTATCTTAGAACTTTCCCCATCTTAAGAGCATGAAAAGGTTAATCTTTATTTACTTCTGGAGTTATTTTTTATGGTTTTCATTTATTCCCTCCCGTGTTTCAGATGGAATTTCTGTGGTGCTTTGTGGAAACCTCTGCCATCTTTTTCCTAAATGTTTATATTGGTACAATATGGCTTAGTGAGCATTGCCCTTTGCCTTACTAAGACATGAAATGACTAAAACATCCTTTTTTATTGTAGTGCTGAACTTCAGACCCTTTTGATGAACCAGCAAACTGTAAAGGTGCTGTTAAAATATTTGTGTACTTAAGTACACAATGCAATCTTAATTTTTTTTCTTTTTCTTTTTTGGAATGGCATATATTCTCCTAGTTGAGTGCAAATATATTTTCTTCTCTTAATTAGGGCTTAAAAAAGCTTGGCCAGTCTATAGAATCATCATATTCCAATATTCAGAAGTTGGTTATAAGCCATTTGCAGAGATATAAAGATGATGGGCATTGCTTTGGTCTTTCTGAAAACTTACCTTTATTGTCTGGCATTTTCTTCTGGAATCTTTCCTAGTTGAATTTTTTTTTGTCGGTCGTGGGGCTTGAACTTTTGGTCCGGGCGCTGTCTCTCAGCTCTTCAGCTCAAGGCGAGCACTCTACCATTTGAGCTACAGTGCCACTTCCCTGAAATTTTTTTTGGGGGTCCAGTCATGGGGCTTGAACTCTGGGCCTGGGCACTGTCCCTCAGCTGTTCAGCTCAAGGCTAGCGCTCTACCACTTGAGCCCAGCGCCACTTCTGGCTTTTTTTTGCTTATGTGGTGCTGAGGAATTGAACCCAGGGCCTCAGGTATGCAAGGCAAGCGCTCTACCACTGAGCCACCTTCCCAGCCCCCTTCCCTGAAATTTTTTAATAATAATTTTTATTGAGATTAAGTGATTATATAAATTTCACAAATTTCATAGTACTGTAGGATAGTGATACTTAGTTAAAGTCACAAACACATTTTAACCTTTGCAAGGCAAATGTCATTATCTTGATCTATAAAGTTTGTGAATTCTATGAGCTTTGACAATATTTCTTCTGCTTTGGGTGATAAATATATTTCTTTCCTTTTGCTTAGTGTTAGCTGTTCCCTGTTTCCCTCTCATTCCCTCCCTCCCTTGAGTTCTTTAGCTGATTTTCATCAATGTCTAGTGTAGCTGATGGGCCCCTCTGATTCTGTGCCCTCCTCCTAGCTTCCCTCAGATGTGTGTACATGGAGTCATTTAGAAATTATATGGGAGATTAAGTAGATGTCCTTTGTTTCTTGATTCCTGTTTATTTTGTTGTATCTCCTTGCATTTTGGATTTAACATGCTCATATTAGGGAGAACATGTGCTATTTGTCTCTCTGCTCTTGTCTTACCTCACTTAAACTGATTCGTTTTAGTTCCATCCATTTCTCTGCGAATACCATTATTTTATCCTTTCTAATGGCATAATATTCCATTCTGTGGGGCATCTGAGTTGTTTCTTTATCTTGGCTATTTATTGTGAATAGTGCCTAGCTGAAAATTTTGCAATGGCATTTGAAGGGGAATCTTGGCACACTCAAGTGTAAAGATTAATTCTGCTTCATGAAATAATTTTTCACTATCTTTTCACCAAGCAATTCTCCCATCTGGATCCGCCCACACTAAACTATAACGTATATTTTGAAATAGGGCATATGTTCCTGTATTTGTTCCACAGAGAAAATTGAGTATGTTTTATAGTTTATCTTGTAAAACATATTGTGTATTTTTTATTCAACACCCTAGAATTTTGTTTTGAGTCTCATTTTACCAGGATGAAACTGAATTAGTTATATGGCTGGCCCAAAGTTAGTACATGGCAGAGCCACGATTCCTTTTAGTGTTTCAGTTCTCTTGTTGTTCCTATCCATAGCTGCTTGAGTGACAGTTTTACAAGCGTATGCTGAATGTTCAGTTTAAATATGGAGACAGCCCGTTATGTAGTGCCTTCTGCACTTGTATTTGTATACTTTATTCCACAAATGTCTCGTCATTTTACTCTTCTTTTTCCTTTTCTTGCAATGCTCTGGGTCAAAACCAGGGTCTTGTATATGCTGGGCAAGCACTCTACTAATGAGCTATATCCCCATCCCTGTAGAATGTGTATTCCTCAGTAAATCCAATGGAATACCTCTCACAGATGCTCCTGGTCCCTTCTTTTTGATCTTAGAACCAAGATGTTTTATAGCATTGCCTATTGCTCTTATAACAGGCATTTACTTTCCACACTTGACATCTCCCACTAAGGGGTTTAAGGCCTCCTTCTTGCTTTATGAACACCCACCCTGCTCTTGAATCTTCAGCTTTCAGCTCAGTTCACTCCCTCAGAGCAGTTTTCACTAGTCCCCATATTAACTCAGATTCTACTTATACACTTGCCCTATGCATTCCCCTAAAGGCATTTATGGCCATTGGGAAGATTACACTGTATGATTGTGTGGTTGTGACCTGTCTCCCCCGTTACGCTGTAATTTCTGTGGTCACAAGGACCTGATTCTTATCACCTTTCTCTCCCTACCATCTAGCACCATGTCTGACAGAAAGTGGAATCTCAAAAACTACTTGTTCAGTATTGGGTAGATATGGGTGAACAAGAGTGCCTACTGGCTGTCTTTAAAGTGCCAAGATTGGGATTAAGGGGTAGCTTAGTGGTTGAGCACTTATTAGCTTATGCAAGGCCCTAGCTTCATCCATAGCATTGCCCCTCCACCCAAATAGTGCCAGGACTGTGAAACATAATTTGATCAAATAAAATTTAATCTTTTTGTCATGTATATTCATTTCAGTAGATAATAGCCAGATGATTGTGCTTATGTTTACAGAACTAGAGATACAATTTTTTAACAGAAAAATTAAATCGTTACGTTAAGTTTTTAATTCTGAAAAATTGGAACTGTTAGGAAAGGTAGTTACTGCCCACCACACTGACTAAGTAATGATACTTTGTCTCCTGTTGTGCTACTGGCTCAGAGTATTTATTGTATCATTTGAGTGAACTGAAAGGAATGGCTTCATGGGAGGAAAAATACAAACCCCTTGGACTGGATGCTACAGGAAATCAAGGTAGTGATTTAATTTCTCACCAGAATATGTTAGATATAGTTTACTTATTTAACAAGGACTATTTATTTATTTATATTTCCCTTTAGATGCTATTACTGCTGTGGGTTCTTTTATACTCAAGGCAAATGAAGTTCTTCATTAAATAATGGGTTACCTAGAATCATTGATTGTGAATATTTACATTTGAAATTAATAAGTACCTTACACACATACCTGTAATCCCAGTGCTTGGGATGCTAAGGCAAAAGGATTATAAGTTTATTTAATCATACAAAGAGTTTCAAGTCTAGCAAATTTAACTTTGATTCAGTTTTTAATCTATTATATTTGGCTAGTATGTCCAGTACAGTAAGATACAGTTTACAAATACGTTTTCATTGCTCTCTCTGTTGAGCTGTTTTTCTTTGCTTTTTTTTTTTTGGTGCCAGTCTCAGAAATTGAACTCAAGGCCTGAGTGCTGTCCCTGAGCTTTTTTCTCAAGGCTAGCATTCTACCATTTGCTCCATTTCTGGCTTTTGGTGATTACTTGGAGTTTATGAATCTCCTGGATTTTCCTGCCAGGGCTGTCTTTGAACTGCAGGCCTCAGATCTCAGAAACCTGAGTATCTAGGATGAGGTGTGAACTGCCAGCACCAAGCTTCTCAGACTCTCTTGTCATTCCTGGCTGTTTTCTCTTTGAACTGTCTGCACTTGGCTTCTGCTGGGAAGCTTTGTCACTCACCAGTATTCAGCACTTTTTGAATATTTTTCTAAGTTTATAATACATATGCTTCCTCCTGTTCACTGTCATTATAATTGGGCTCTAGAAAGTGAAAGCTCCAGCACTTGCTCAGAAGACAAAGTGAGAGGAGTAATGACATTGCTTTTCCTGTGTTTTGGAATATTTTTTGAATTTACATTTGCTGAGAGCAAATATGAAATACTGTTTTCTAGAATTACCGCTCTCTATAAATAGAAAGTATTTAACTTCTTGATCCTCTCAAGTAGAAAAAATATCACTATGAAGGGTTACAGATGGAGGAACAGGAGCAGTGGGGGAGGGCTTTAGTGTTGTCTGGTTGTGTTAGGTAGGGATGAAGGTATTAGTTAGGGAGAACACAGAGAAACTCTGATTTTCACTGGTGCTGCAAGAGAATTTTAGTTACCTTGCTTGGTATCATAGGAGTGCTGCAGTCTTTGATTTCCTAATAGGGTGAATGATACTGCTCCACCGCTCAATGATACTATGAAACATAAAAAACAAGAACTCGTACTACTGGGAACGTAGCTCACTGGCACACTGTTATCTAGTATGCATAGGCCCTCGGTTCAGGTCTTAGGACCTCAAGGAAAATCAGTACAGGTATTATTTGCTTACTGTAATTATCACATAGAAGTAAACTTAAAGAGATTGTAAAAATTGAACTCATCTCTGTATGCAGAAAGTTCACCAAAATGAAGATGAGTTTGATTTATAATACTTAACTTTTTTCATTTGTGTCAAATCCAAGAGAATTCAAATTTTGAGAGCTCATTTATTTGTTGGACTAAAAATTAAGCTTCATAAAATGATGTCCAGTGGTATCAGACATGTGACATAACATAAGTTTATAGTTGTAACTTCCTCTTGGAGTCAGTGTTTTTTTAACTGATTAGTCATTTTTTTAACAAAAAATAACGTGTGAAATTTTTTTCCTCACTTATTTGCAGAGTTAGGAAAATAATTCATATGTCACAGAATGCTGGGAAAGATTCAGTTTTTTGGAAAGACCTTTACAACCAGAAAATATTATTTATTTGCTTAATTTTATGAAAGAATCAATATGTGTTTTGTTTTTGTTTGCCTTAATTTTAGGAATGCAATAATGTTTGGTTTGTATAATCTGCTCTTCTAAGGGCTTAAATCCTGAGAAGACAAAGTAGAACAGTAAGGTTTATTTTACTCTGTGACAGTTGAACTGTACTACATGAATGCACATGACCTTTTTTTATGATTTGCTTATCTTTTTAGAGTTACAGACAGTAGTATGAAGAATTTCAAGGCATTTTTCCGTTGGCTTTATGTGGGTAAGTTAACCTTAACATTGTTGTTTTAACACCTTTGAACACTGTGGAAATACACCTTAGATTTGAATTCGTCTGTTAAAATTTCAAAGACTTATAAAATAGTATAATGAGCCTCCTTGTTTCCTTCTTTCTCCCAGCTTCAACTGTTGTCCATCTATGGCAGTTCTATTTCACCTACCCCTGTTCCCCCATAAAAGTATTAAAGCTCATTTGTAACACCTGTGTCCCTTCCACTCACTAGTACAGTGATCCCTAACCTATCTTGGGAGTTAAGTTCCAGACACCACCGTGATAGATGAAAATCTCATGCTTTATTGTGGTTCACTTATTGCTCTGGAAAGTAACTACATGTTTTTTAAACCTGGGATGCAATGAAGCTACAATACAGTAAACCTGGGATGCAATGAAGCTACAATACAGTGAGGGACAACTGTATTTCCTTAGGTTAAAATTGAGTGTTTGTCAAAAAGTCCTTCAGTAGCTTGTGTTACATTTTACACTCTGTTCTTCCATCTCTGGAGCTGTGTGGTTCATGGTGGTAACCACTAACTAGCCTGTGGCTGTTGAATTCATTAAAAACATCTAAAATTACATATTCAGTCGGGCTGACCTCTGTGACAGCACAGAACTGAGACCTTGCTATTACATTTTCATGGGCAGTGGTGCCCTTGCTAAGTGGTACACAGTCTACTTTAGGACTTCCTTTGTAATGCCACTATGTCTTTGCCATTGGGTAGGCAGTTTAATTAACAAATACCTGTTGACTTCACATGAGATGGTTTGATCACCACTCTGTGGTACTTGCATATTTTTAGGCCCATTTATACTGCTATTTTTGTGAAGTATATTCTTTAAATAATGAAACAAACATTTGTCTCCAACATATGCAACATTTAGTTGTATATCTCATATTTCTTAAAATTTAGAGTGAAATACAAGACAAATAACTTTTGATATGCTAATACCGCTAGTGTCCAGATGTTCAGTTCTAATAGTACAAAAGCAGACTTTATGCTTGTCACTGTACTATAGTTACTTTTGTTTAAAACCTGAATGTGATCTTAAGTTACTTTAATTCTTGGTTAGATATTTTTGTTTGTTTCCTTTTTTTCAACTGTATGATTGATAGTTGGAATAGGGAACTGGAGTTTTTTCAGGCTAGCTTGTTGCAGATCTGAGTTTTAATTAAAATAAATTGCAATATTAAAAGTAGGACTTTAGAAATCCTTTTCTCTGATGGGATTAGTGGTTTAGTTTTATTTATAATTATTGCGTGCTCTAACTAAGCATCAGCAGTAGAAGAGCAGTGAGTAACTGCTCAGTTCTTATCTCCACAATGTGACACTGTTGTCACCCTGGCTTTGTCACTAACACGAGGTTATAACTTTGTCATCTTTTTTTGTAAAATGTAATTTCCATAAAGGCATTTTTACTGTTCTGTCCCCCGCAGCATAATCAGTAAGGTTTTGTTTGGGGTGAGGACCAACAATCCTGAATATATTTCATATCCTGATAAAGTCAGATTTTAGTTCTTTTTTTTGGGTGGGGGTCCAGTCGTGGAGCCTGAACTATGGGCCTGGGCGCTGTCCCTCAGCTCTTCAGCTCAAGGCTAGCGCTCTACCACTTGAGCCACAGCGCCACTTCTGGCTTTTTTCTTTTTGCTTATGTGGTGCTGAGGAATCGAACCCAGGGCCTCAGGCATGCAAGGCAAGCGCTCTACCACCGAGCCATCTTCCCAGCCCCAGATTTTAGTTCGTTAGTTTAATTGTTCAAAGAGAATATTTTTTGTAGTAAGAAGAAACTGTTCAAATGGAAAATTTAGTTCAGTAAAACTCATTTGGTCTTTAAGATTTATCTGTAATAAAAATTACATTTCTAGTTTCCTTTAAAGATAATTTTTAACTTTGTATTTCCAGCCATGTTGAGAATGACTGAAAACCATGTGCTTCCTGAGCTGAATAAGGTATGCACAGAAGTACATATGGCCAGCCCTGCGTGTCAGCAGGTTCCATCTCAGTAGATTCAACCAACCACCGATGAAAAATATTCTGAAAACAATGCATCTGTTCCAAATATATGTACTTGTTTTTCTCTTTCCTATTCCTTACACAATACAACAATAGTTATTTACATTGTATTAGGTGTTACAGGCACTCTAAAGGGGATTTAAACTGTACAGGAGGATGTATTTTCTTATATAGAGATCTTGAGTACCTGTGGATTGTATTATCCGTGGGGGTCTTAGAAGCAATCTCTCAGATAACAGGGGACACCTGTGTAATTTCTTTACGCATTGTCCTGATTGAGCTCAGTCTTGCTCATGGTCTTGGTACTCTTACAGTGTTAGATAACAGGACATTAGGCTTTTTATCTAAAGAAATTTGAGTGTTTGCATAATATTTTCATCTTGCTGAATACTGCTTTGGATATTTGAATTTACAATTTTCATGTTTGAATGAAGTTTTATAATTCTTACAACATAGCATCCTTATACACTTTAACTGCCTTAAATCTTTTTTTATTGTGAAAATACTGTACATATCTTAGGGTTCATTTCCCTAACATCAACTTATCTGACCTTTTCTGCTTGACTCAGACATATACTAGTTATTGCAAATAAGGGAAACTATGGGACCTATCTTTCTTTGGGCCTGGCTTACTTCACTTAATATAATTTTTTCCATGTCTTTGCATTTCCTAACAAATGTGGCACTGTCATTCTTTCTGATGGGGTCATAGAATTCCATTGTGTATATATACCACATTTTCTTGATCCACTCATCTACTGAGGGGCATTTGGGTTGCTTCCATATCTTATGCCTTAAGTCTTAAATGCATTTTTTTTCCTTGAAATATAAGTACTTAAATGTTGTACCTAAGTTGAAGCCTGGAAACAAGCAGTTTCTCTCTATGAGGATGTGGAAAGAAGTATTCCCTGAAGAGCGAGCTCAGAGAACAGTCATCCTCCTCCTTGCTCCCCACGGCCCACTCACCTACACCCAGGCCCAAACTGTGGGTTCAGGCAAATTATTGGGAAGCTTACTTTTTGCCTTGATTTGTCTTCTTTTTGCCCCTTTTTGTTAATAGATGACTCAGAAAGATATCACATTTGTTGCTGAATTTCTTACTGACCATTTCAATGAGGAAAGAAATAGCTATTTAGCCACTTTGAAAATAATCACAGCAAACATTGTTCATGGTAAAATGTAATTAGCAATTACTTTTTTAAAGACTAATTTTAAAAAGACTAAACATAAAGTCTATTAGTAGACTTCTGTTTGTATGTATCTTACAGTCTGCAAAAGACTAAATGCAATGGATAGCTGTTTTATAAAATACATATTGCATTTGTTAAATTTAAGATTATTTTCTTAATATTTTGAGCTTTTAGAAATAAACTATGTTTGTTCTTTCTAGGCTCCAGACCTTTATAATCGAAAAGGAAAATACTTTAATGTTGAAAATTTTGGTCACGAATGGGCATTCTATTGAACTTGGTTTGATTTATAAGAATGAATTTTAAGACTTTGTACTGTTAATTCATATTATCTAAAGTTTATGGAAAATAATATAATGCCAATATAACTGGCATTGTTGTGTATTTTCTCAGCTGTCTTTGATGTTCAGCTTAATAGAAGACAGCTAATTTTAATGTCTACCTATGTGTTTATTCTGTTTAATATGCTAATTTGCTTACTGTATATAAGGAAAATCTAACCTCAAGCAGGTGTGTGTCCTTGGAAAGGAGAAAGTACTGAACTAGTTTTGTCCTTTAACTAAGGATATTCTTTAATATTATACAAAATCCTTCCAAATGTTGGTCTCTTGGAAGTTTTTAATGTGGAATCTAAAATTGGGTTAGTAGACACTTCATACTCAGTTTCATTAAAAATCTCTCCATCTTCCTTACACTTTGAAAGGGACTTTTACTCATGCTTGTTTTCATAACATCATAACTTGGTCTTTTTAGAAATATTGGTTCTGTGGCCTTTACAGATCTTTTTAAGTACTGATGCCATTATACATTATCTAAATATCAGGTGACTTCAGGCTACTCTAATCAGAGTCTTTAGTTACTGTGAAGCTGTCAGTCACTCAGTAGCAGATGCAGGTGCCAACATTTTGAGTTTTGCTTAAAAGTTTCTTTTTTTGGAGACAGTCTCTTGCTATATAGGCCTTAAAATCTTGTGATATTCCTGCCTCATCCTCTTCTAAGTGCTAGAATTATAGGCCTTTACAACCATGTTTAGCTGAAATATTATTTGCAATAAATATTTCAGGTTGTTTTGTTCAAGTCACTTTATTTTCAAGAAAATACCTGCCAAAAGTAAGAGTTTGAGGGGTAGAGGGATGGATGAATATGCATGTTCAAAGGGGTAACATTGACCAAGACATATTTGTCCATAAGCTGAACAATGGCAATTCCTTTGTGCATCTACTTAATAAAATAAATAAAAATTTTAAAATTAAAAAATACTTCACAAACATCTAAGTATGAAGAATCAGTTTGTCCCCTATTCTTTTGTTTCCAAGTAAAAATGGAATGTCATATTTTACAAAATGTCTGCCTATACAACTGAAACAAGACAGTTTCTGTCTTTCTTCAAGACAACCTTGCATGCTTTGATGTCTTGTAAAATCACCCCTGTGTGCCTCCCAACTCTGTCTCAACAAACATTAAAAGATCTGCCCTCAAGAGTTGAGAATTAACAATTTAATAGCTCTATCAGGATAAATAAAATCGAATATGTGACAAAGAACACAAGACTACAAGTAGAATTTGGTCCACTAGGTAAGGGGTGCAGGTACTGGCTGTTCTTTCTTCCACGCCTTCAGTGCAAATGTTGACACCGTGAAAGGGCAAGTGACACCTTGGCACTAAAGCTGGCATTAACCTTGTAGTCAATGGAAGCATGCTGAGCAATCTCAGGGATGGGGCTACACTGTGAGAACTGCCCTTGTAGAGCATACTGTCAGTTGTAACTAAAATATAGCCCTGATAGGTAAGGTTAAGATATATCTTGAAAATGAACCACAAAATGTAAATTCTGGTTTCTAACTTACTGTAAACCATTTAAGTCATTTGCATGTTGTCTAGAATTTGTCACCTCACTTAGAAAAATAATGTACCTTCACAGAATCTGGCAGTACAACAAGATAACTTACTAACTAGAATAACTTTAAATACAGGTTAGAGCCTGACTCATTGCTTAACTGAAAACATTTTAACTGTATTTTTAGTATTTGAAAGATGAAGATGATAACCTTGTGTCACCCCCTAACACGGAAGGAAACCAGTGGTATGACTTCCTCCAAAACAGCAGCCATCTTAAAGGTACTTCATTAACCAAGCAGATGTTGGCCATGTTTATACGTATATCAGATTAAAGAGTAACCTCAACATTTGTCTAATTTCTTCAGGCTTACTTGGCATGTCCATTTTATTTGATTAGAGAACAGCATTTTAACAAGTAGAGTATGATGTCACCATGATAGATAGAAAGCACCCTGAAATAAACTGTGCTGTGGTACATTAACTATGCTGACACCAAAGTTATTTTTTCTCTCCTGACACCAGCCAGTTATGATACCAGCTGAAGGTACTGCATTGCAATTAATTGCAGTTATGACACTGAGCACCCACAGTGAGCATTAGCCTCCAGGGGGAGGAAGGCTCAGTCCGCTAGACTCCTCACATCACATCAGTCCCAAGACCTAGGTTACCTTACCCACACCTATGTGGGACGTGACTATGGGGCATGTGTCCATTACTTTACCCCTTAAGTTGGCATAGCTTCCAGAATGGTGTACAATGCTCCGGAACACATTCAGCTTTCCTTTCCAGACTGTTTGTTATAAAAATTTAAGTTGGGCATAGTCCAGTGGAAAACATTATTCAGGGTTTGGTATGGAGGAAGAGGCCACAGATTTTATATCATCCCAGAACTCAAGCAGGGAGCCATCCAAACCTCCCCAATGTCTTTTTTTTAATTATCAAGAAGGTTAGTAAAGAAGGTTTATGGTGGGCTGGGAAGTTGGCTCAGTGGTAGAGCGCTTGCCTTGCATGCATGAGGCCCTGGGTTTGATCACTCAGCACCACATAAGCAGAAAAAGCTAGAAGTGGCTCTGTGGTTCAAGTGGTAGGGCGCTAGCCTTGAGCTAAAGAACTGAAGGACAGCGCCCAGGCCCAGAGTTCAGACCACATGACCACAAAAAAAAAGAAATAAAAAGAAGGGTTATGGTTATGTAAGGCAGGTGAAAATTACATTTCTTTTTTGACAATGTCACCCTTTCCCTTACTCTCTCCCAGTTTGTCTTCAGTTTTTTTGGGGGGGTTCCGGTTGTGGGGCCTGAACTCTGGGCCTGGGCGCTGTCCCTCAGCTCTTTAGCTCAAGGCTAGCGCTCTACCACATGAGCCACAGCGCCACTTCCGGGTTTTTTCTTTTTGCTTATGTGGTGCTGAGGAATCGAACCCAGGGCCTCAGGCATGCAAGGCAAGCACTCTACCACTGAGCCATCTTCTCAGCCCTGTCTTCATTTTTGATGGAGGCTTCATTATAATGATTAAGTTACTAGGGTAGAATTCAACCAATGCCCCTATTCCTTTCCTGCAGTCTGGCAGATGGAGCTGAAAGTTATAAGCTTCTGGATAAGGCATAGTCTTTCCACCCCACCCAACCCTGAGGCCTTGAAGGAAATGCCAGAGTGACCACATTAAAATTGGCCATCACATTTACTACTCAGGAAATCTCCTGGGTTTCAGAAGCTGAGTTTTGGGAACTGGGGACAAAGGCAACATGTTTTTCTGTAATTACCCAGTATGTCACCTCTTGAACCTTAAAGTGCTGAAATGATGAAGATTTTTTTTACCTAACACAGCTGAGACGGGAAGTACTGAGTGTGGGAGACAGTCTCAGAGACATTTGAGCTGGTGGGCCTGAGTCACAGCTTGATTCACAGCTCTTTTCATCCCAGGCAGTTCCAGAGGCCCAGTAGGCCCTTTGCTTTTTACTTTTAAGTTGGAGAATATGAAGAATTCTTATGGCTAATGTAATAATGTATAAAAAGAACATTTTAAAATGAAAAGCATACTGAATACAACAGCAAAAAAGAATCAAAGCTAGCAGCGGCAGAGTAGCCTGGAGTGCTGCTGCTATCACATTGTGGCAGAGTTGAGAAGAAAGAACAGATTTCAGCACATAGCTTACAGTTTCCAATGCCTTCCATTTTTCTAATAGCCAATGGTGTTTTACTGTTGAGCTTTGGTGTAGGACTAAGCTTGAGTAGGACAAAGCGAATGTAGTTGTATTAAGTGGGCTGGATTGAAGGGAGATTCTGGTCATTTTTTTAACTAGGTATGTCAAAAGTATAATGAGAATTCCACCATGAAAAACTATGGGCTGCCTCTGACACTGGATTATTTTCTCCTAATCATTGGTTTGCTATAGTTTTTGCTCTGTTTCTGTTTTTGTCTGAAACCAGAAAGCCCTTTGCCGTTTCCTTATTATCCTCGAAAATCATTGCATTTTGTGAAAAGGCGGATGGAAACCATTATTCATCAGTATTTGCAAATGCCAGCAGTAAGTTGGAAAGAAATGCATATCTTTGTTTGGGAACAAGAGTATAGTATGTCTCATCTATGTAAATGTACACAGATATTAGGATAAATTGTAAAAATGATGATATTCAACTGGTTTTGATTGTCAAAATTGACAGTTTCTTTTGGCTTGGTTATATCCATAGTTAATTCCTTATATAAATTTATTTTACTTAATATATTTTTAAATTATTATAAGGTGGACACTTATGGCTCATGCCTGTAATCCTAGCTACTCAGAAGACTGAGATCTGAGGATCTAGTTCAAAGACAACCAAGGCAGGAAAGGCCATGAGACTTATCTCCAATAAACCACTTAAAAAACCAGAAGTGGCACTGTGGCTCAAGTGGTAGAGCACTAGTCTTGAGCTGAAGAGTTATGTGACAGAGTGCCCAGTCTTGAGCTGAAGAGCTGAGGGACACAGTGCCCAGGCCCAGATTTCAAGCCCCACCACCGACCAAAAAAATAATTATTGTAAAGGTGATGTATAGAGAGGTTACAGTTACAAAGGTCAGATACTGAATACTGTACATTTCTTTTTGAACAGTGTAACCCCCTCCCTCATTTTCTGCTCATATAAATTCAAACATTATCATCTTTAGTAAAGTATCCCCCCCCAGATCAAGCTCATTACAGTCTTAGTCCCAGAGCTGGTGTGTCTTGTAAGTGCCTGATGTCATGAGACCAGAGGGAGTGGTCCTTTAACACAGGCCAGGCAGGCTCCTCACCACTAGCTGCCCCCCTTCTCTCTAATGATGTTTTCAAATCTTGTTTTTCTGTGGGATATAATTGGAAAATCAATGAATCAAGCCATCTGTATTCCATTATATAGAGATGCTAGAAGGTAATCTTCTTTACCTGTTAGGTAGTATAATTTAGCAGCCAGTTTGAATTTTTCTCATGTTTTTTCTTTAATTTTTTTTGCTTTTTTTAGTGAGGACTCCTTTTTTGTAAGTGTGTGTCTCCTCATCTTGTGTAAACAGTAGTTTTTGTTCTAAACTAAAATAGCTAAATAGCTAAATATATTTCTTTCCTTAGGTGGAATAATAAAAGTTCAAATCTACAGTATCTTCTTTTTACTATTTTAGAAGACTCACGGTGTAAAATGTTTATCTTAAGAAGGCATGCTGATATTTCCCAGTGAATATTCCTTTGAAGTTTGAACTGAAGAGATGAGAGCTTAATATTTGTAATAATAGTAAGCCATTCAGCTTCCCTTTCAGCATTTCGGGTATCAGCGAAGCTGCCTCATGACTTTAGGTTTGCATTCAGTATTCTCAGTTCTCACATTTGGGAGATAGTAATGCTGAGTTGAGAAGCTATTTGATCCCTTATTGTTCTGGAGTTCTAACCTTTATACTAGTATATAGCCTTGTATATAAGTTTTTTTTAATAGCTTTAGGAAAATGACAGCAGACCTGGGTTATATCTAAGGAACACTTAGCAATTCAAAACTGTGTTAGTAAGTACTTTATAGAAAGGCTTTAAAAAAATTTAGGTTAATTATCTTTCATCAAATAAGAGATCTTGCCCACAGAGACTTTTTGAGATTCCAACGTAAACATTCTGAAAATCAAATGATATTCAGGGTTCCATTAGCATTTTAAATGGTTTTAAGTCTCACTGTGAAGGTACTATTTTATTTGTGTGTGCCAGTCTGGGGCATGAACTTAGGCTTTGGGCTTTGTCCCTGAGCTTTTGTGCTCCAGGCTATTGCTTTCCCACTTGAACCACAGTTTCACTTTTGACATTTCAGTGGTTAATTGAAGACAGGAGTCTCCTGGATCCCTGACCAGGCTGGCTTCAAATGATGATCCTCAGATCTGAGTGCTGAGTAGCTGAGATTACTGGCATGAGCCACCAGCACATGGCTAAAGGGATTTTTTCATTGTCAAGGTAATATACAGAGGGGTTACAGTTCATAAGTAAGATAATAGGTACATTTCTTGTCTAACTTGTTACCCTTCCCTCATTTTTCTCCTTTCCCTCCCTTCCCCAAACCTTCCCCTTGACAAATTGTACAGATCATTTCCAACATATTGACTTGTGAATATGGCTGTTGCATTGGATCCCCCTTGTTCTTTGTCTCATGATTCTGTCTCCTTTCCCTCCCTAATTCAGATAAATGTATATACAATACCAGGGTACCAAAATCAAATACAGTGACAATAGGGGATAAACCATAGGGAGAAGATCACACCAAAGAAACAAAAAGTACATAGTACATTAAAAACAAAAACAACAGGGCTGGGAATGTAGCTCAGTGGTAGAATGCTTGCCTTGCATGCCTGAGGCCTTGGGTTCGATTACTCAGCACCACATAAGCAAAAAGAAAAAAGACGGAAGTGGCGTTGTGGCTCAAGTGGTAGAGCACTAGCCTTGAGCTAAAGCCTGAGGGACAGTGCCAAAGCCAGAATACAGGTCCCACGAACAGATCCAAAAAAAAACCAAACCAAAACAAGACAAAAACAACAACAACAAAGAAAAACCTCATGTTTCCATGTCTTGGAGTTCATTTCGCTTAGCATCATCTTATATGGTCATATGTACATAGCTCTTGAGCTATTTTTCTCATCTGTTAAGATTATCCTAGATGTATACTAATTATGGCAAATAAGGGAAACCATGGGACTGTTTTTTGTGGGGGGTTCGCTTGACTTGATCGGATTTTTTTCCAAGAAGAGAATTCCATATATACATATATATATATATGTTTATATATATACATATATATTCCATATATATATATATATATGTTTATATATATATATATATACACATATATGTATATCACATTTTCTTTTTTGTTGATCATGGGACTTGAACTCTGTGCCTGGGCACTGTCCCTCAGCTCTTCAGCTCAAGGCAAGTGCTCTACCACTTGAGCCACAGTGCCACTTCCAGTTTTCTGGTGGTTTATTGAGGATAAGAGTCTCACGGACTTTCCTGTCTGGACTAGCTTTGAACTGCATTCCTCAGATCTCAACCTCCTGAGTAGCTAGGGTTACGGGCGTGAGCCACTAGCACCCAGTTTTACCCCATTTTCTTGATCCATTGATCTACTGAATGGCATCTGGGTTGGTTCCATATGTTAGCTATGGTGAATAATGCTGTGATAAACCTAGTTGTGCTGTTAGCTTTAGTATGACCTTGTTTGTGGTTATTTGGGTAAATGCCCAGCAGTGAGATTGCTGGGTCATAGGGGAGCTCTATGTGTCTTTTGAGGAACCACAACTAAAGGGAATTTTTGAATTCAAGATGTTAGTTGTCCTTAGTTATGGCCTTTAGCTACTTAGTGATTAAGATTTTAAACCAAGCTGGTTTGCCTAAGTGTTTAAGTTATAGTATTCTGGAGTGGAAGTGGTAGTGTTGGTCTGGGATTTGGGAATTAGATATGTGTGCTAACATTGCCAGTCATGTTTGTTCAGGCATTTAGATTTATTGGCTATGTAGTTGTTCCATAGGGTCTCATTCCCGTCTCTCCTTTCTTTCTTCAAGGTCTGTGAGTCATGGACTAATTGCTGTGAAATTTGGGAGCTTCACCTATGCTACAATTGAAAAAGTCAGAAGAAGGTAACACCCAAGCCTGATTTGGGACAGAAGCACGTGGGATGTATGTGTAGTCAGTGCTATGTCAGATGTGCTGTCAACAAAGGGGCTCTGTCACTTGTAGGGGGGCAGATTTTCTTTTACTTTGATTCTTGTTAGTTCTGTTCACTCAGTTATATATAAGGTATCACTCATGAAATTTTCAGAGGCTTAAGGGCTAGCCATTTATGTCCAACTGTGATAAAATGTCACAGATCATTTTGTTTGTTCTCATGGTTACTTATTTTATGTTATATACTAGTTATATTTGTGAAAATTTATATAAAAGTATAAATTGATAAGGTGTTTTGTCATTGCAGGGAATATTACCTACTGTTTTAAATTATTTTGTTTTTGCTTAGTGTCAGCATAATGTTATGCATACTCTATTTCAGTGGTTATGATCATTTCTGATATAACAAAATGCATCTCACTTACAGCAACTACAGCTGTCATTCTTAAAGACACCATGGGACGTGAAGGAAGAGACAGACTCTTGGTCCAGTTGCCATTGTCGTTTGTGTATAACAGTGAAAATGCTGCAGGGTATCAATTCACTGGAACTTATGCCACAAGGTAACTAACTACCTTAGTGGTAGAGGGTCTGTGTGGTAAAACAGTTAGCTTTATTTTTTTAAAGATAGGATTTTAAAAAGAGCTGGAAGTGTGGCTCAAGTGGTAGAGTACCAGGTGCTGAGTTCAAACCCCAGAACCATTAAAATTTAAAAAAAAGTGTCCCATTGTGTATCTCAGGTTGCCTTGCCTTGAAATAGCCAGGCTTGGATCAAATTAATGAGGTTCTTGCCTTGGTCTCCAAGGTGTTGAGTTGTCAGTTGTATGCTACCAGGCTTAGCTGATATTTAGCTATATTTACCATATGCCAAGAATTCCAGTTTCTTAGATATGCTAAGCAATGATTTTCAAGTTATTGGTCTACCCATCCAGACAGCTGAGCAGAAAACCTCCTGCTGTTTTTTTCCTTTGTCCGGCATGGGGTTTGAAATCTGGGCCTGAGTGCTGTCCCTCAGTTATTCAGCTCAAGGCTAGCACTCTGCCACTTGAGCCACAGTGCCACTTTGGGTTTTCTGGTGGTTTATTGGAGATAAGAGTTTCACAGTCTTTCCTTCATGGACTGGCTTTGAACCATGATCTTCCTGAGTAGCTAGGATTACAGGAATGAGCCACCAGTGCCTGCCTGGCTTCCTACTTTGTATTTTTAAAATCCTAACTTTATACAACACGCGGAAACCCACCAAACACTGTTAGGAAAAGGTCAGGAAGAGACTAATTGCTATTAAATTTAAGAGGATCATCTACACCGGAACTGAAAAAATCAGAAGAAGGTAAGTCTTCCTTCATGCTATCAAGTCTTCCCAAATGTTACAAATTTCCTAATGTTACAATTGTATGTTACCTCAAAAATTAAAAAAAAAATGTGCCGGGGCTGGAAGGTGGCTCAGTGGTAGAGCGCTTGCCTTGCATTCCTGAGGCCCTGGTTTTGATTCCTCAGCACCACATAAGCAAAAAAAAGCCAGAAGTGGCGCTGTGGCTCAAGTGGTAGAGCGCTAGCCTTGAGCTGAAGAGCTGAGGGACAGCGCCCAGGCCGAGAGTTCAGGCCCCACGACAGGACCACCCCCAAAAAATGTGCTGACTTTAATCATTGTCTCGTCCCTTGCTTTAATATTAAACTAGGAGTTTTTGCTAGAATAAGATGAGGAATTATTTGGAATGGAGAAGAGGTCTTCATTTGAGTTATGTTTTAAAGGATAGCATTAACTTTAGTTTGTTGTCACTAATAATTGTAAACTTTCCTTTAGTATTTTCCAGAATGGGGACCCAGTTCCATTGCGGAGTCTAAAGTCAGTTCAAGGAGATAGTGTTAGTTGCTTGAGGATTTAAAGTAATAAGATCCCTTCTCTACATTAAAAACGTGGGCATCTGCTCTCCTTGAAAGTGAATTGAGGATTGGGTGCATAACTCAGTTGTGCAAGGCCTGAATTTAATCTCTAGTACTGTATCCTCCCTCCCCATCACCCAAAAAACAAACGGCACAGAGCCAAGGATCTGTGGATTGTAGTATTTTTACAGACTGTCTTGTCATCTGGTAATGGAATGTGGGTGGGGGTAGGACCCCAGTTGCCCCAAACCCCTCCTCTAGTGAATGTGGGAGGGGGAGGTCCTGTTTGATTCCTGGACTGGTTTTTCCTCCAGGCTAGATGAACAAAGCAGTGTTATTCCCACACATACCCTGCACTTTGAGAAGCACTGGCGGTTACTGGAGAGTATGAAAGCTCAGTACATTGCTGGGAATGGTTTTCGCAAAGGGTCCTGTGTGGTGAGTATGGCTTTGTTTCTATGCAGCATCCTATGAGTACTCAAGCATGTCATCTCCAAGGCTCCTTCTCTGGTTGTCATTCTGTCCCTTGGTTTCAGTTAACTGAGCAAGCAGCAGGCTAGCAAATTTGTTTCCTTGGAGAAACTTTGAGTAATTAAGAGAAATTTCAGAGCCAGGTGCTTGTGGCTCACGCCTGTAATCCTAATTACTCAGGAAGTTGAGATCTGAGGATCTTAGTTTGAAGCCAGCTCAGGCAGGAAAGTTCACGAGGCTCTGATCTCCAATTAATTACAGAAAAAGCCAGAAGTGGTTCTGTGGCTCAAGTGGTAGAGTTCTCACCTTGAACAAAAGGATAGCACCCAGGCCCAGAATTCAAGCCCCAACACTGGCAAAAATAGTTTGGGTTCTAAGTTGCATAAATTCACCACTGTGGTGTGTGGAGATCCTTTTATGTAAAATGAAGGTGAAGTTGGGTGATTTTATAGTAAATTGTTAAAAATATAACTTTCCTATAAAACTATTCTTTGCTTAAAGCTTCTGATTTCTGCTTCGTTTTATAAAATTTGTTTGCAAAGCCATTAGTTAGAAAATTGTTAATGTGACTCCTGACACCAGTGGCTCATACCTATAATTCTAGCTGCTCAGGAGCTGTGGCTCCACTAGAATGCTAGCCATGAGCAAAAGATGCTCAGGCCCATTGTTCAAGTCCCAGTTCCAGGTGCATGAGCATTTTCACACACACACACACACACAGACACAGACATTAATTTGCCTTTTCTTCTTTAGTTAAGTTCGAGTCTCCGTGATGTGAAAGTATTTGAAATCGACGTCGATGACGAATGGGAGCTGGATGAGTCTTCAGATGAAGAGGAGGAAGCCAGTGGTAAGCCTGTGAAGATCAAGGAGGAAGTGCTGTGTGAGTCAGAGACATAGGCCCACCACGCCTCTGCTAATGCTCTAGCCCCAGAAATAGTGGTCAATGTGGAGAAGCTTTACCCTGAACTGGACTCATAATTCAACTTGCCATTGTTATTACATGTTACTGTGGCAGAAAGGACTTAGAAGATGGACTGAGATGTCTTGGGCTGTGCTTAATTTTCTTTGTATAACAAAGAAAGAAGCAGTAACTTTTTTCATATTTTGTATCACCTTGTCTTAGTAGGATTGCCATTGTAATACTTTCTCTTTGTTAGAAGTCTTTAATAACGTGTAAAGAGAACACAAATGAAGAGGAGACCAGATGTGGTGGCTCATCCTGGTAATCCTAGCCTCTCAAGAGGTAGAAATTTGGAAGATCCCGGTTCAAGGTCAGCTACCTGGGCAAAGTTTTCAAGACCACATCTCAATCAGTAAAACTGGCCATGGTGATGCTGATCTGGGCATACACCTAAAACTCTATTTGAAAAGTGATGCCAAAAGTGCTAGGGTTGTGGCTCATATGGTACATCATCAGTCTTGAAAGTGTAAGTCCCTGAGCTCAAACCCCATTACTGCTACTACAACAAAAATTCCCACAAATTTGATGAGATGAAAAATTGGTCAGTCTCCTCTCCCAAAAAGTTACTCAGAATACCTGTCTGAGAAATTCAGCAATCCTTTATCACTGAAAATCTTGTATATTTAGTATTTTTAAATATTCTATTGGACAATAATTATTCTAGGTTTTCAATGTACATCATGTTTGCTGTCTAGAATACTTTTAATGCTGTCCTTTAAAATGAATCAGCTGGTAACCAAAAAGATGAAGCTTGCCTCAAAAACTTTAAATAGCAAATACACTGTACCCACATGATTAGTTTTCTTGTTGTGTTTCTGTATTCATATCAGAGTTGCTTTGAAGCAACCATGTTTAGATGTATTTCCCCCCTGAGAATACTTGGTCAAGGACCTGAAATAGCTGTTTGGGTGATTGGCTAACTTGGGAATCTGAGAAGAATGGTTGAACTAAATACAACCCCGAGTTAGTACAGGTGCGCTCCTATTGTCCTAATGCTTAGGAGCCATTCCAGGAGCTTCCAGTGTACATAAATTCTACCATCAGGTCACTGATAAATGGAAGAACCAGTTCTTAAACATGTAAATATCCTTGAGCAGGAAGTCTTACACTAATTATGTGAGTGGTTATCTACTGGGTAGGTGAGTAGTTTACCAGCTGAATAGGTTGGTAGATAACACTTGGGTTTGGGTCTGCTAATAAAAATCAGAGGAGGCCACTGTTTTTCTTGAGGCACCCTTACTGGGTCCTAGAATACTACACTAAAAAAGTGAAGTTAGGGGCTGGGAAGGTGGCTCAGTGCTAGACGGCTTGCCTTTCATGCATGAGGCCCTGTGTTCAATTCCTCAGCACCAAATAAGCAGAAAAAGCCAGAAGTGGCACTGTGGCTCAAGTGGTAGAGTGCTAGCCTTGAACTGAAGAGCTGAGGGACAGCACCCAGGCCCTGAGTTCAGGCCCCATGACCAGCAAAAGAAAAAGTGAAGTTACCCATGTCACCAAAAGGAAACGAGTTCTTATCTGACTTCCTAAGAAATAAGAGACCTAAGAGCTAAAATTCCCAGGCACCGGTGGCTCACTCCTGTAAATACACGCTCACTCAGGAGGCTGAGATCTTAAGATTCTGGTTCAAAACCAGCTCAGGCAGGGTAGTCTTACCTCCAGTTAACCACCCAAAAAAGGAGTGGAGCTATGGCTCAAGTAGTAGAGCACCACCAGCCTTATGCCAAAAGCTATAGAACAGCGTCCAAGCCTTGAGTTCAAGCCCCAGTACTGGCACAGAAAAATTAAATAAAATTTCCAAATGGGCCAGCTTGAGTTAGCAGAACAATGCAGTTCTCTCTGCTTTAATCTTAGAATAAAATAACCTGAGATGAACAAATCAAGTGTTTTTCTATTTGTTCTCCCTGTAAATTTGAAATGATAGGTCTACTTTTTGCTCTTTGTTTTTGCATCTTTTAGTGTTCACTGTAGAAAACTAGTATCTTCTATTCAGTCCATCAGAACATTTCTCTGTTTTATAAAAAGAAATGTTCAAATTTAGAATCTCAAAGCCAATTGTCTTGGAACTAAATTTGTTGTCATTTTTTTTCCTTTGACAGAACTTTTTCAGGTGCTCAGGATACCTACCATGGCCTGATCTTTGTAAATTTTGAAGGAATAGAAGTCACTGCAGGTGACAGGGTGTTGAGGGCTTGTGCTGTTCAAAAGATGAGTTCATAATAGAATTGATCTTGATCAATATGTTATTTTTATTTTGTAATTTTAAAATGACCAGTGCTCATGGTCATTAGCTTTTGTGAGCAGGAAAGATCAATTGTCAGACTCTGTGGAGAAATGATAGGTTGTAGGCATATAGGACACTTTAAAATAATGTATTACAGGTTCACCACACCAACCTTCAGTGGTATTGGAGACAAAGAATCTCAGCTTGTACTTAGAGTGATTTACCACGTCACAATAAGTAGCCAGTTCTTTATTAAGTCTGGTAATCTGCCTTGTGGGGCTTCAATATTGTATCTATTAAAGTGCTTTTGATAAATGCATATTTGCTTCCTGTGGTTTTAGCACAGACATAAATTGAAACAGAAATGTCTCACCTCTTACCTTAAGTGATGGGTCAGTCATACTCGTATTGATGTGCCAGCTGTCACCTAAAATTAAAATTTTAGTTTCAGTCATTTCTAACTATGGGTAGTAGGGGTTTTTTCCTATTAATGCTTTGGAAATATATAAAAAAGTAGGAACTATTTATTAATTAAATCTAAATGAAAAATTTTATACACTTAACTAAAGCTCTTTAACTTTTAATGCATAGAACAAATGATTTCCTCTTTATCATTGAGTGATTCAATATATGCTATAACTTTTTTACCTCATTGGTTACTTTGCTTTTAACATTTAGAACCAATTTGGTCATTGTACACTGTCATGTTAGTATATATAGCTGTAGGTGCTGCTGTTGCATTATTTTTGTGAATGGCAAGGGAAGTGCATGATGAGGAAGCTGGGAAGTAGAACCTCAAGGTTCCAGCTGTGTAGAGGGAGCACTGGATGCCTTGCCTCCCATAGTAGGGCCTTGAATGCACATCTCTGGGCTTGAGGCATTACTGAGAGCATGGTCTTTGGCTACATGTGCAATACCCAGCAAGATGAGTACTTACTACATATTGTGTGTTGTCCTTTTCCTGTTTGTGTGGTATTGTTCTTTTAAAAAATACTCTTTCCCCCCCTGCTTTTTTAAAACACTAAACTTAATAGAAATATGATAAGCCTAATTCTCTGTCTTTATAGCTTTCCTTGTGGTGTTGTTGGGTTTTTTATCTTTTTCGAAAATAAAATTTTTACATTTAGCAAAAGGCTAAAACATGATGCCTATTTTGTTGTTGTTGTTGGTTGTGGGGTTGAACTCAGTGCCTGGATGCTGTCCCTAAGCTCTTTTGCTCAAGGCTAGAGCTCTACTTCTGGTTTTTGAGAGGTTAATTGGAGATAAGAGTCTCGGAGGGACTTTCCTGCCCAGGCCTGCTTCAAATCCTCACCGGGGCCGAGCTCATTGTGCCTTCTTAATTAAGAACATTTTAATGTAAACATGACAAAACGTTGCTGTAGCCTTTATTTATGGCAACATAACTAGAGAGTTTATATGCATCTTGGTTTATCTGAATATTTCTGCCTTTTTTGTCAGTCATGGGGCTTGAACTCTGGGCCTGGGCCCTGCCCCTCAATTCTTCAGCTCAAAGCTAGTGCTCTACCACAGCTCCACTTCCAGTTTTCTAAGAGGCTTTTATTGGAGCTAAGAGTCTCATGGAATTCCCTGCCCAGGCTGGCTTTGAAACATGATCCTTAGATCTTAGCCTCCTGAGTAGCTAGGACACAGGCATGAGCCACCAGTGCCCAGCTATTTCTGCATTTTAAGGAAAGTCTGCAAGCAGACATGGACTACAACATCTGAAGGATGCTACTGAAATCAGGCAGCCTGATTGCATAGGAGCTAATCAGTTTCTTTGGCATCATTTGAAGTTGTGATTATCTACTTACAGATAAGTTATACCAACATTTACTCCTGCCTGTCCTTCATAGTTTTAGTTCTCATAGACCAAATGGAACTAGGACTTAGGATTATACTGTCAAGGTTATCCAAACCTAAATAACATGAGTGCAGAAATGATCATTATGAGGAATAGTCCATTCACAAACATACATTTGTCTGTTTACAGATGGGAACTCACTGTGTAACCCAGTTAAAACCCAAATTTGTGATCCTCTTGCCTCAGCCTCCCTGGTGTGTAATGATTAGTGTGTGCCACCATTCCCAGCCGGAACTTAATTTTTTAAGTGGCAAGTTCTAGGAAATAAATTGTTGATATATTAATTGGTATCTGAGCTAGCTAGAATATTAAAAACAGGAATTCCCATGAAACAAACTTCTTAGGCCAGATTTGTCCAAACCAGTGAATAAAAATACCCACTCTCTTAGGATATGAAGCTAGTACCAAGTGTAGCATTTTTTAAGCATATAATCTGTGGCTAGGGTTCATTGTGACATTTCCAACTCATGTACACAGTATATTCTAGTCAGTCTTATTCCCTCTGTTATTCTGCCCCACTTTCTAAAACAATTTCAATGGGCTTCATTGTTGTATTTACATACATGCAAAGGATGTACTTTCACCATATTCTTCCCCATTTACCTTTCTTGTTAGCCCAACCCCCTCTGCTAGTTCACAACCCACCTACCCCATGAAAGCCTTTCCTAAGCTGCATTTTTAACCATCTTTAATCTTGGTAAGTCAGGAACTAGCTATTTTTAGCAATTATGTTTATATATTTTTATTTGTAAGATCACTAACTGTTCCCATATATATGTTGAAAATTGTTATTATTTTCCTTGAAAAATGATCTTTCCTGGTGGTTAATTATACTTGCAAGATGCTCACACTCATATAAGTCTGCTTAAATGATTATAGGCATAATTGTACCCCAACTCTCGTTATGCACTGCAGCATGTGGAAATGAGTCCCTC